TCGATCTTTAATGTGTAAACTTTTCTTTTATTTACTTTACAATCTTTGATTTTTATTCACTTTCTGTAAAAAAATGTATATTTTATTTTATAGCTTATTATAACATAAAATTTAAAATTTTATTAAAAAAAATATCTTATCATGCTGTGATTCTTTCATGAGTTCTAACACCTCGAGAATACTTTGAGATACTGGCTAGGCTCAGTTCTAAAGGCTGTCGAATATATAATTATTAATATAATACAAAATTTTTTGCATCTTTCTATATGTATGAAAAAATGTTCATGTTCAAATCAAAATTTATAAACAGCTTTATCAAATGCTTTTATACCTTCACTAAAAACCTTTATACCTAAATTTTTTTATAACTAAACATATCTTTATACATAAACTAAACATTTTACCAACTTATAATTAATTGTAAACCATTAAGCTACAAAAAAGTTTGTTTTGCTTTTGTTAAAATTAAATTATAATAAATACAGGAAACTAGAGCAAAGTATTAAAAATCAATTAAAATGTAAGTATAAAATTAAAACATACCAAAATGTCTTAAAATAGCAGGTGTTAATCCTCTCCATAAACTCATTAAACCTTCCTCAATGACTAAAAAAATAGTAAAATAAGATTGCTAAATTTAGCTTTACATTCAAATAAATAGAGTTTGTCAGCCACACTTGAGACACTGGTAAAAATTAATTTGAACAAACATGCTAGCTTTAACCCTAGTAAACTATCCATCAAAAGTATGTATCAATGGCTGACCAAGTAAATAATTGGTTAAAATGTCAAGGATTATAAAAAAATGCAAAACAAAAAAAAATGCAAAAGTCAGTTAATGCGCTTGATTAGTAGAGATGAATCAGTTAAATGTGGTCAAAGTAAGTGTTTACAAAAAATCATAAGTTAATAATGTTATAAAAAACAAAATGTCAATCTATATTAAACAGTCTATTAATAGACCAGTTTTAAAGTTTTGAAAACAAAAATAACATTGGAACAGCCAGTTGTTACCAGACACGATTTGTGTTGGCACTAAAAAAGATGGACCAATTACTTGATATGACATCATATCTTGCATACGACAATATTAAACTGGCAGAGGAGATAAAGCTGACATCAGCAAAAGTAACAGCTGAGACAGTTATTAGACTATAGAGATCTTAAAAATGTGATTCATTAACCATTTACATATGTTTCAACACAATAGCTTTAAATACTATGCTTTTAAGGACATTTCTAGAAATTTTAATGGGTTGTAGTCTACTTTGTTGTCCTTTGTTTGTCTGCTTGTTGTCTTTTGTGAAAAATGTGTGTCTAATTTGTCCTTCTTCATTATCTGGTTTGCCAGTTAATGAAAATTGTAGAAAAAAATTAATACTAATAAAATATGAAGCAGTATATTTATTTATACAACACTTGGCAGTCTTTCACAGGAAGACGTGTGATCATACGTCTTTATATGACCAGGCAAATTACATTTTGCTATGACGATTTGACTGCGGCTATTTAAAAAAACATTTTAAAAACACACTAAATGAAAAATATTCTGAAAAAATGAAATTAAGTACATCAAAACATCTTAACAAATGTTTTTATATTAGCGAAACGCTTTTAAATAAAGTAACAATTTACTGATAATGTTTTTTTTTTTTTAATATAATTGACAGTTGCATATACTTTTTTAATTTATAATATATAAACTGTTTAAGTTTATATTATATATAAACTGTTTTTTATTTTCTCTTTCATTTTAATTTTTTTTTACTTTTTTAAAGTTTTTTTCTCGATAAGTTTAGGTAAGTTTTTGTAGCGCATTTTTAAAATTTGAAAATATGTCTAAAGCCGTGGTCAAATCGTCAAAACAAAGTATTTTTAATGTGGTCATATAAAAACATGCGATTGTCTTCCTGTGAAAGATTGGTTAGCTTGATTTTAGGCAAAAAAAAAAAAAAAAAAAAAATTATTCATTTAGTTTTATTGTAATAAATAAAAAGTAAGTTGAGAGATTTAGTTTATTATTTACTTTCAACAAAATAAACCAAATAATATTATACTCTAATAATACTATGAAGCTTTTGTTCTGTTCCTGGGTTGAAAGTGTGTTTTCCTAACCCATTAGGTTTAAAACAGAAAGAAAATCGCTGTTATTTCTGAAAAACTTTGCTTCTGTGACTGGGACAATGAAATTTGGAAAATCTTGTGTTTTCGAGAAAATTCTCGATTTGCTTCCAATACCAACCTTCCTCCTATAATATCCCTGAACTGCTAGAGTTGTCCAGATGTTTCTACAATTCTCCTATACACTCTAGAATGTTCAAGAAACTTCCAGAACTTTCGAGAAACTCTCGGAACTTTCTAGAACATTCTTAAGCATTGCAAAGTAGCTGTACAAGTATAAAAGGTGTCTGTGCTTTTATACTTGTTTTTATACCAAGATTCCGATTCGTGTTATTGCAGACTTAAAGTATTTCGTGGAAGCAAGTTGTATAATGTGCAAGGCCAACAAGACATACTTCAACGAGCCGGTTAGAGACCAAGAAAAATCTTGGGCACTGCATTTCACTTGCGAGTATTTCAAGAAAACACTTGAAGGTAAACTGAACAGTTGCTTCTCTTGCATTTTAATTTATTTCATAAATCTTCAATGCTTTAGATCTAGTTTCAAGAAGTTGCAATTTTTAAAGTTTTGTCATAAGTTGTGTACTATAGGCAAATACGTTCCATCTTGAAATCGTTCCATATTATAAAATTTCCCGTCCTCAAATAGTTATAATTTTTATGTATTATTATGTGCTAGATTACAGGTTGGTACAGAGGAGAGAAGCAAGCCATGAATTTGGCAAGAGCCAATGGATAACTCAAGATGTGAACAATTGAATTAGGAATCTCAGGCTTACCAAATGGAAGCTGAACTTCTGATATCAAGGCTCAAACAATGGACTTGGTTGAGAATAGCGTACAAGTCACAGATCAGAGGAAGTGGCATCAAAGATTCTCTAACTTCTTCAGTCAGCATGATGGGCTGTGTTTCTGTAACAATATTGCCGGTCTATTCCAGGCTGTAGGTATCAAATGTAATCCTATTGAAAGGCCCCTATTCATAGATAGTTCATCTCGGAGCCTCAAAGCCATGTTACTTCATATTGGAATATATATATATATATATATATATATATATATATATATATATATATATATATATACACAAAACTAAATATACCAACAACTGTTGTACACTTACATCCAAAAAATAATAATTGAAATTATTTATATTAGCAACAAACCTCAGAGTAGAAAATTTTTTGATTGAATTGGGAAGATAGGGCTTTTAATACAAAAGAGTCTTAAAAATTTCCTAAACATTTACTCAAACTATGATTTGTAAACAAAACAAAGGTTCATTCAAGAGCTGAAAGAGCTAAAAGTGAAAACCTGAGATAAAATTTTTATTATTTTTATTATTTGCTTTTTTTTTGTTGATGTTGAAAACATGTTATTTATTATCTGTATATTTCTTTTTGTAATGATATGTAATACTTTACATATTACATGTAATACTTAAACATATTACATATTTGTAAAATATATGTATAAATAAATATAAATAAAAATATGATATGTAATACTTAAACATATTACATATTTGTAAAATATCATTAGAACAACTGTCTTAACATCTTTAGAATAAACTTAGAGGATTATTTATATAATACAAAATTTTGACCAACAAAATTTATGCTTACTTTTCGATATATTTTCAAAATACCTTTAATAAATACTAAAATGTGCGATACCTATATATATGATATATACCTATGCCGTAACCAGTCTTTAACATTCCTCTATAGGCAAAATACTTTATATTGGAAGCATGCTCCCCTTGCATTTGGAGTCGTGTCTTTGTGATATCCAATGGAAAAGTAACTAAATTCAATCAAATTTAGTTATCATAAGTTAAAATTAAAATTAAAACTAAGTTTGAATTGAAGTTAACTGGATAGTAGTTTTCACAAATAAAAAATATTTTTTAAGACAAAATTTGTGATATTTTGTGATAATAGTTTTTAAGACAAAACTTGTGATATATATTGCAATATTGTGATAATGCAAACTTGTGATATTGCAATGACACACACTAAAGTATTAAAGGAGGTTGTGGTTCAAAATAAACAATGATATGAAGATATGAGAATCTATTGAATACTAAAACTAAGTATGAAAAGCTTTTCAAAACAATTATGCCATTATAATTAAATATAAATTTTGAAAAATACCTGATTCCGCAACAGAAGCAGCAACGCAAGATAAACCATACTTAAGTGCAAAACTATCAACTGGTACTGACATTACACATTAAAAAAATCTATCTGATATCTTCTCTTTTCTTATCATATGATATACACTGAGTAAAATTGGGGAAATCATAAGAAAATGTTTCTAATACAAAATATATTTTATCATAAAAATATTTTTGAAAACTTCCACATTTCTATTTACATAAATAAAAAAGAATAAAAATAGACACTTTCTTGTCAATGATTTGATTGGTTAACATTAAAATAATAAAATAAGATTTTCTCCATCAAAGAATTGTTTAAAATTAAAATAACAAAAAGAAACTCTTTGATCAAAGAATTGATTGTTTAAGAATAAAATAACAAAAATATACTTTTTTTATTAAAGATTTAATAAGTTAAAAATAAAATAATAAAAAGATACTTTCTCATCCAAGATTTGTTTGCTAAACATTAAGAAAAACTTAAAAATATAAAAATCAAAAACACCTTGTTGACATTCCACAACTATGAAATAGTAAATGTTTCAAACTTTTTCAATTTTTCAAAAAATGATCATAAATTATTTAGCATTAAAAGAAAAATAAAGATAACTAAAAAATATATTAAAAAGAAATACATAAAAAAAATAACAACAACAGTAAAAACATATTTGAATTTCGATAAGCTTTAAAGTACAAAAATATTTATAAAACTTTTTTTTTTTATCAAAAAAATATAAAACATAAAAAGTCTATCAAGATAAACTTTTTTTAAAATTTTAAAAACCTAAAGATACTTCCTCCTCATCTAGATTGTGTTTTGCTATATACTGCATAATATCGTCAATGTTATCACACGGAAGAGATTCATGTTCAATATTTGTATTTTGAATTTCTGAATCAGAAATAAACAAACTACCATACTTTGGATTCTCCTGTGAGTTTATTAAGTCAGTTTGTTCAATCTCTTTCTGTGAGTTTAATAAATCTGTTTGTTCAATCTCTTTCTGTGAGTTTAATAAGTCAGTTTGTTTAAACTCTTTCTGTGAGTTTAATAAGTCTGTTTGTTCGATCTCCTCTTGTAAAGAACCAGTAATACTATGTTTTTTAACATCAGTGAACTGTCTGTTAATTTCATTGTCATAAGCAACAATATTATCATCAATATCAAAATTATGTCCCTTCTGAGATGATCTTCTTCCCAAATGTTCATTTGCAATAAACTCCTGAGCTTCATAAGTTTTACTGCATTCCTCATTGTTAACAAAAACTTTTGAATTTTCAGTTAAAAATTCATCAACTGATTTATTATCAGCAATATCTTTCTTTGATGGTTCATTTGAACTTGCAGAAAACAAACTAATTTCATCAACACTTACATCATCAAAAAAAGAATTAATCTTTTTTGGTATCCCAAACAACTCATCATGATCACGTCTCTCTTTTAAAGATTTTTGATTTGATGATCTATATGTTAACATAAACCAAAATTACAAAGATTTGTAAAAAATTGTCAAAGATAATATTAAATTAACTATAAATAGATAATATTAAAAAAAACTTTTTTTAATTTTTTTTTAACTCATTTAAAATTTCATTGAACCAATTAAATCAAAATCAATTTCTACAAAAGCTTGCTTATATCAATAATATTGAATTGTGGAAAAAAATAATTTAATAAATTGATTTATGGAAAAAATAATACTTTATATTATCAATAATAGTTTGTGGAAAACTTATCAATATCATCATCAACTAAATAAATTTTTCTACAATAAATAATTAAAATATAATACGATAATCTAAAATTTATGATAAATTATTATAAATTTCAAGTATTTGAAAATAAATGAAATTAAAAATATAATACGGAAATCTAAAATTTATGATAATTTATTATAAATTTCAAGTATTTGAAAATAAATGAAATTAAAAATATAATACGGTAATCTAAAATTTATGATAAATTATTATAAATTTCAAGTATTTGAAAATAAATGAAATTAAAAATATAATACGGAAATCTAAAATTTATGATAAATTATTATAAATTTCAAGTATTTGAAAATAAATGAAATTAAAAATATAATACGGAAATCTAAAATTTATGATAAATTATTATAAATTTCAAGTATTTGAAAATAAATGAAATTAAAAATATAATACGGAAATCTAAAATTTATGATAAATTATTATAAATTTCAAGTATTTGAAAATAAATGAAATTAAAAATATAATACGGAAATCTAAAATTTATGATAAATTATTATAAATTTCAAGTATTTGAAAATAAATGAAATTAAAAATATAATACGGAAATCTAAAATTTATGAAAAATTATTATAAATTTCAAGTATTTGAAAATAAATGAAATTAAAAATATAATACGGAAATCTAAAATTTATGATAAATTATTATAAATTTCAAGCATTTGAAAATAAATGAAATTAAAAATATAATACGGAAATCTAAAATTTATGAAAAATTATTATAAATTTCAAGTATTTGAAAATAAATGAAATTAAAAATATAATACGGAAATCTAAAATTTATGATAAATTATTATAAATTTCAAGTATTTGAAAATAAATGAAATTAAAAATATAATACGGAAATCTAAAATTTATGATAAATTATTATAAATTTCATGTATTTGAAAATAAATGAAATTAAAAATATAATACGGAAATCTAAAATTTATGATAAATTATTATAAATTTCAAGTATTTGAAAATAAATGAAATTAAAAATATAATACGGAAATCTAAAATTTATGATAAATTATTATAAATTTCAAGCATTTGAAAATAAATGAAATTAAAAATATAATACGGAAATCTAAAATTTATGATAAATTATTATAAATTTCAAGTATTTGAAAATAAATGAAATTAAAAATATAATACAGAAATCTAAAATTTATGATAAATTATTATAAATTTCAAGTATTTGAAAATAAATGAAATTAAAAATATAATACGGAAATCTAAAATTTATGATAAATTATTATAAATTTCAAGTATTTGAAAATAAATGAAATTAAAAATTGTCATGATTTAATATGATTTGTTAATTTTTTATTTATTTTAAATTGTCATTAAAAATTTAATATGATTATTTAATTCAATATTACATAATATTAATAAATTGGTATAAAAACACCACTATTTTGAGATTGATTAACCCATAAAAATGCTTACATAAATAAAAATGCCACCATTTAAAGCTTGAGAAACCGGTGAAAACACTTATAAAAATAAAAATTTTTGAGCTTGATTAGTAATAACCAGTGAAAATGCTTAAATAAAAACTTTTATATTTAGTAAGGTTGAGTGTATTTCTATGAATTTTTTTTTGTTGTATATTTTAAAAAGCCACTGACATTAATAGAAGCAAGGAGCTTATATTTTTATATTTTTAATACTATTGTTTCTAAACCTCTTCCATCAAGTTGAATACCATATACAACAAGTTGAACAACATATAGAACAAGTTGAACAACATATACATTAAGTTGAACAGCATATACAACAAGTTGAGCAATATATACAACAAGTTGAACAACATATAGAACAAGTTGAACAACATATAGAACAAGTTGAACAATATATAGAACAAGTTGAGCAACATATACAACAAGTTGAACAACATACACAACAAGTTGAGCAACATATACAACAAGTTGAACAACATATACATTAAATTGAACAACATATACAATAAGTTGAGCAACATATACAACAAGTTGAACAACATATACATTAAATTGAACAACATATACAATAAGTTGAGCAACAAATACAACAAATTGAACAACAAGTTGAGCAACATATACAACGAGTTGAACAACATACAAAACAAGTTGAGCAACAAATGCAATAAGTTAAACAATATACACAACAAGTTGAGCAACATATACATATGCATAATATTATATTTGAGTTCAAAAAAGTGAAAGTGTTGTTACAGTAACTTTTCTTGTAGATTTCTGTGATAATATGACTTAAGTATTGAAGAATTTTATAATGTGTAAAAATTTTAGAAATGCATTTTAATTATAACTTTATGTAAAAATATAAGAAATCACTTTATTATAACTATTTTTTATATACAATTGCATAGTTAATAACTATTATTTTCACATTTTGAATCTTTTTAATGTGTTTTAATTTTGACAAATATTTTCTTCAAAAGAAATCTTTCAAAATTTAATGTTTGAAAGATGTTTATTTCTTGAAATCAGCACATAAATTCTGATGGTTTTACACCAGCTGATGATACACTAGGCCTTGTTTTATAGCGTTAAGTTGCAGGCAATTTATGTACACATTAAGCAATTTTCTGTACGTCCAGAGCAATTTCCATTAAGCGACTTTTTAACATTTTTTAGCTTTTTAATCATTTTTTAACTTTCAAATTATTCTATATATGGTAAGATAAAAGAAGCAATTAATTTTATAAAAAACAGCATTAACTTTTGAATGATGATTATGTAAAAAAGTTTGTTACAAAAAATTGAATGACAATTATATCAGATATAAACATTATTTGCTAATAAAAAAAACTCAAATAAAATTAAAAACAACAAAAACTCCTATTAAACAAATTATTTAATCAAAATATTTAGTAACAGAAAACATAATTGTTTATAGTTAACAAAAAATATTTTTTTTGTATAGTTATTAAAGTTATCAAATGAAACCATAAAAAAAAAAAAACCATAAAAGAAATAAAATAAAAAACTTTTGTTTATTATCTGTTTTGTTTATTATCTGTTTTGTTTATTATTAAAGTAACTCATAACTTAATAGTGGTTGCTTGCAATCTTGTTGGAAGTAAATTAGAGTTTGAAAATGTATAAATATATGCCAGTATTTAATAAATAGTAAATGTAAGCATAAAATTATAATATTAAAAAAATTATAAATTTTTTTTTAGCCCCGGCTATTAACTCTTGCTAAATCTTATATTTTAGCTGGGGCTGGGTTTGTTAAAAGTCCTATTTTTAGATGGGGACAGAGCCCCGGTCATATACTAACTGTAAGAATATTTGTAAATGTTCCTTTGCTTAACCAAGATTACAATTAAATGTAAAAAGCTGTATAACATAATAAAAAATAAAATTATTCAATTAAAAAAATATTCCCTCTGTTCTGAAACACTGTTTCAATTCGCATTTAACGTAAAGATTTATTGAAAATAAGTTATGCTAATTTTTTTTATTTTTATTTATACAAAATTAATCTGATCTTAACGGAACCTTTTCTTCGTCCAAATTTTGTGCCACACTTTTTTCAGTCATTTTAAAAGTGGCATTATATCAACAAGTTTTGCTGTGTTATTTTTTTTTCAACAATTTGTACCAACATAGACTTATTTTATGTACTAGAATAGTTTAGCTTTAAATCTGCATGGAAATCTTTTTTGTAAAATTTTGTTTATAATGAATTTATTGTTTAAAACTTCTTTATTGTGCATCAGGTATGTATTGAAGGAATGCTTAGACTTTTTAAAATATATACAGAGATCAGCAAAAACCTTTTTTATTGCTACCTGCCAAATTTTTCTCCCCCACACACCCTACTAACTCAACCAAAATAGGTACCTATTTTTGACTTAAGTTCCGCTATACACACGGGTAGTTAAGGGAGGGCGTACCATAATAAACATTTGAACATTAATAATGATTAAATGTGTATTATGATATAAAATAATATTGAATAGTAGAGGGGAGAGTGGTGTAGCTTGAAGGCACATCAATTGTGATGCCATCGTGAGTGATGAATTTAAACTAAAATTTTAGTTGCATGTATTGGTCATTAAAGGCTCGTAACAAGTTGTTTTATCACTGCTTAACACATTTGCTGTTGCAATTTTTAGCTTTACGAAGAAAAACTTTTTTAGATTGTTTTCTTCTTTTTCTACAACTGTAGGTATAAACTTTATTTTAAAAACTGATTATTAAAATTTGTTATAAAAGCTAATGTGTACCTTGGTGGTACCACCAAGGCATACACTTGCATGATTTTGTAAAAATTATTATGAGTAATATTTGTTATGAAAGTATTTTTTTAATCTAATATGTTGTTATATTTTATAATGATTTTTTTTTGTTTGTTAAGAATTTCTTTAGTATAAAATGTGTGAATTTCTTTGTTTAATTGTAATTATTTTTCTCAAATTGTTATCTTCTCTTTGATAATTTTCTCAAACTATCAAAGAGAAGATAAAACTGTGTATGAGTTGGACAAATCAGACATGGTCTTTCAGTTGCCACATTCTATTACAGCAGGTTCAGCACAACAGCTGAAAAGACTATCATTTAGCATTAACTTTGATTACTTGAATGTAGAGAAGACAAATACTAAATCAAAGGGAAAGACTTAATATTACTAAACTTTAATGTAGTTATTTATTATTACTCTTTTCTTAATCAACTTTATTTCAAATGAGGCTGATTCACATCAGCCTCATTTAAGATAATAGTCCAATTATCCTATAAGTAAACATTATATCAAATTTCTACCATGCTGAGTACTGCTGAGTACTCCAAGGTACAACATACATACCTCCAAGGTACACCACCGGTGGTGTACTTTAATTTCATGTTAGCTACTTTTTAAAATTAAAAAAAGGGATGAAAAAATATATCTAGATGTTTACTAAAAAATCCTAGAGTAACTAATATCATCAAATTAAAAAAAAAAAAGTTACAAATCATTGTAGACACCCTTTTAACACCCTTGACACTTAAAATGCTATAACTTTGTGTAGAACTGTTTGATTTTAATAATTTTTGACCTTTAAAATACTGTAATGAATCTATTTCCAAAGATTTATAACAATCTAGTATTTGAATAGTTTAAAAATTTCATGTCTCATGCCTAATTAGATAGCCATAGATTTAAAACAAGATTTTACCATTCATAAATATGGAGCAAGTGTGTCATTATAACAATTCAAAAAATAATACAATAAAAATAGACTTTATTATCAATTCATTATTTTTTGATGGTATAATACTAGGTCTTTTATAACAAAGTACGATAGTCGCGATTACATGGCACTACAAAAAACATTTGACGTTTGACAAAAAACAACGAATTTTCATAAGCTTTACTCTCTTATATCTTTATGTACAGTTAAGCAATCACATTGAGGTTTTTTGTATCAATTAATGTTACTCAACCTCTTTCCAGCCATACATAGAATGTACTATGTTTTCACTTAAATATTATCAATATCCTAAGACCACTTTTGATAAAAAAAACTTGCAGCGGGACACTTTTTTTCAAAAGTAGTTTTTCAAGGTAAGATTTCTTAACCACCATAACACATCTAATTCATATGAAACTTTCCATATATTTTAAAAAAGGGATGAGGAATCTAATGGAATGTGGACTCTTTTTAACATTCATATAAATTTTTTTAGTTCTCAGCGTTTAATTCATGTCCATGTGGAAATGGCAATTACAGCCTTTCCAACAAAACAAGTATTTATTTATGTTTTCTTGATGAAATGATACTTAGGAATTTTGTTTAGAAATTATGTATATAATGTTTTTATTCCTTTGCGTATCGTTTATTTTGATTTTTGCGCTTGATTTCTGATGGTTTTTTGTTTTATTTCGGTGCCATTTCACGCCAAATTTTCCATATTTAAGGACCAGGCATTTTGTCAAAAAATTATCAGTTATTCCAGCATAAAAAATGCAATAACTTTGGATCCAATTATCTTCTACAGTTAAAAGACCCCTCCTTTTTTAAGTTTTTTTAAGCTCTATATAACTATGTTAATCATATTTAAATAGACAAAAAAAAATGTCTGAAATGACTAACGATAACTCCTTCATATATTCATGAAAAAAGACAACGTTTTTCCTTTTTTGAAAAAAGGACAAAAAGAAAAAGGAAAAAAAAACATTTATAAAATAAACTAAAAATGAAATCAACAACAAAAAAAAAGAATAAATAAATCTTTTAAAAGAAGAAAAAAATAAGAAATATCTGAATGAAAATAAGTAAAAAATAACAAAAATAGAAGTTAAAAAAAAAATGTCAATGAATGAAATATATAAAAAGATTGGCAAAGAATGAAAAAAAACTATTTAAAGAGCGGAACCTCGATCGCCAAATCAAGATTTTTATTTATTTTTTTATACATTTCTTTAGTTTTCTTTCATATATTTTTTAGGATTATTTATTTTATTAATTATTTATTTTTATTCATTTTTTTAGTGCATATAGTTTTACTTATTATTTTTTGTTAGTCATTTGTTTGTTTTTTAGTTATTATTTATTTTTAGTGGTATATAAATTTTTTATACAGTTATATATTATTTGTTTTTATTTTCATTTTAGCCATTTATTATATATGTTTAATTCTACCATGTAATATTATTATTATTTTTTTTTAATCTCAAGTTTTTTTTTGTTGTTGTTTGTTTTGTTTATTTTGCTTAGTTTTTTGTTATGTTTCGTAATGTTTGTTGTAACTTGTTTTGTTTTGATTTTCTAAGTGTTTTTCTGTTTATATTTTATTTATTTATTTGGTCATAACATTTGCAATATATTTTGATCATTATATTTTAACAACTATGACTATATTAATATATTTACTAAATCTTTATAATTTTTTTAGCAGTAGTCGTTTTATGTTATCGTTAGTTGTTACATTTTGTCAGTTTGTTACTGTTTGTAACTGTAACTTTGTATGTAAAAATGATTGCTGTATGGAAAGTAATACGGATTTATTTAAATTAATATAATTACTTTATTATTATTGTTATTATTACTATTATTACTATTATTACTAAGATTAATTGAATATATATATAATTTTTTTTTTTTAGGTATTTACTTGAGATTAGTATTTCAATACTATTTGTAAAAAGCCTTGAAAATTTATTTTCAGAATATATATATATGATTATTAAATAATGTTTAAAAAAGTATTTTTTGAAAATTAATAACTAAAGCAATATTAAGCAAAATAATAATGCACCTGTTTATCACCACTGCGCTGCTCCACATTTTAAGACATATAAATAAATCAACCAGGTTTAGTTTACGATAATGATCTTGTGACAAAAACAACAAAAATATAAATATGCATAAATTATCTTGAAATTTACTCAAAAATTATATTCAATGCTATCCCGATATGGTCCGTAAAGTTTGACGTCCAATAGTTGGGGAAACGTTGTACAATAGTTGTGCGACTTTGTACTTCAACAATTGTTGTAGAAATTGATTTCCGCAACAATTGTTTTTCAACGTAAATTTTTTTTGCACAACAGACCTTAAGTTGTGCAACTTACGCCAAAAAAATGTTACTGTGAACTTTCTTTTATAAAAGAATTTTGTCGGTGCGTTTTTTTGTTTTAAAAATCATGAAAGCTGACTTATTATTTGTAAACGTCATTATTGAGCGTCCTTCTAAATGTTCAAAACACGATCAAAAAAAAATTTTTTTTCAGAAAAATTTGCTAGAATTTAATGACATTTTCTTTCCAAATAAGTTATGAAGAATAATATTAAATAAAAAAAGAAAAAAGGAAAGAAAAGTAAATGGTACTCTTGGTGATGTGTAGATCTCCCATCATTGGCCAACATGGGTATGCAAATTTGCGTTTATTTTCTAAGGTTTTTTTAACTATTGACTTTATTTGTTGACTTTTTTTAGGAGCACGTGTAAACATTGCTGCTCATTTTTTCTGGCATTAATCTAATTTGTGGAAGATTGTTTTGGAAGTAGATATATTTTAAGAGCGCTGCGATATTCCGTGTGAATATCAACAAGACCAATTTTAGAAGATCAGAATTTTAGAAGATCAGATGGGCAATTAGGAGGGGAAGAGGCAGTAAGTGATATTCTTTTTAAATTAGAGTTACGGTTTTATGAAAAAAAATAATTTTCTTAATGTAAAATTTTAATTAAAAATAATTCCTAACACTTTTTTTTGGTCTAAAAGTTAAAAAAATCTTGTTAATTTTTTTTTTGGAGATTAGAAGGTAGTTAGTTTTTCTTCGGTTGCGCTTCACTTAGTTTTTCACTTAAGTTCTTAGTTTTATTAAATGCAGTGGTTAACCTCTACTAACTCTTTTCTTAATTGGCTTTTGTGTTATGCGTTTAGAGTTATTGTCTTTCATTAAATGTTGTACTTGTGCACGTTTAACAAGTGTTGCTTTGGGAATACTCCAAGATGTTAATAATTAAATTACACATGATTTTAATGTTTATATAGCACAAAGAGTTTTTTCTATTGGTTGATAACTGCACAATCTTTTTGGACATAACTGTATAAGCACTTTACCAGGATTTATACCTGATTTTAGCAAGTCTGCATTTAAGATCTCTATTATAACCAGAAAAACTATTTATTTTGTAAAACAGATCATGTTTAAAGTGTTTCTGCTTTATAAAGCAGACAAAGCTTTGAAACAATCCAATTTTGTTACAGTTTTAGGTTTGCAGTGACTAGAGACAACTCTACGAATAAAATGATGGATTGAATATGGGGCGAATCTTTAAAAATTACCGACTTGTTCCTTTATAATTTAAGTTCCAGTCATTATTTTCTTTACATACTTACTATAAGTTTGTTTTTCCTCAAGATAATTTTATGCATAACTTTTTAGTATCTTTTTTTTTTTTGAGGAGGTGGAGGGGGTTAAAGTGCTCTAAGAATACCTAATGGTTATCACCAGTGACGGATCCATTTTTTTGTAAATTTGTATGGCTTGTACTATATTATAATTATGCAAATTAAAATTATTTTAGTAAATATAAAAATAAATAATTTTTATTTTGTGGTTAATCCTGAAGGTTAAGAAGAATAAGATGTAAAAAAGATTCTGAACATCAAAGATTTGCACAAGAAGTTTAAAAATTTTTATATTGACCCTCAGAAAATGGTAGCGGTAGATTGTGTTAAAATTACAAGCAATCAGACAACTCTACTTCTCGGTAGTGTCAGATCAAAAGCAGGAGTCTCAAATAAAGAAAAAACTCAAAAATATTAATTTGAATCGTCTCAGTATAAATTTTTTTTACTGGGGTTGAAAAGTACTTGCAAAGGTAATTTAAAACTTTAATAATGACTTTATTTTTTATTAATTCAAAATTTTAATGTTACAACATATTAAAACCTTTAAACATAAATTGTACAGATTTTTCTTTTTAATTTACAAGTCTTTTTAATTGTATATTTATGAATGATATTTGTGTTTGGGTGTTAAATTTTTTTCAAGATTTGTTTATGAAAAATAAACTATTATAAATTATTACGGTTAAATGCAGTTTTTTGATTAAAATTAAAAATAAAAATTTTGATGCCTGCTTTTGTCCTACATGCAACAAGAAAAACGGTGTAAACTTCTTCGTTAAATGCTCTTTCGCGGTGTTCTGTGACAAGAGCGTTAAATGCTTTTTCGCCGTGCTCTGTGACAAGAGCGTCAGATGCTCTTTCACGGTGCTCTGTGACATGAGCGTTAGATCTTTCGCGGTGCTCTGTGACAAGAGCGATCTACGTGGAACATTTTAATAATCAAAAGAAAAAGAAAAAAAAAAACAGCTGAAAGACTACAAACTTTAGAGAAAATTCGTTTTTAAATGTTTGATTTTAGACGAAAATACCTAAACATAAGAAAAACAAAAAAACACTAATCGTTTATATACAAATACTTAAAACTATTTTTTTATATACAACAAACAACAAAAAGAACAACAAAAAAGTCTTTATTCTAAATTTAAAACTTTAAGTAAACCAACACAATTTAAAAATAATTACGGTATACATATTGTAAAAAATATTAATATACATAATGTATATGTATATATTAATATAATATATATTAATATACATAATGTATATGTATAATACATCTATTTGTTCACATGCAAATTAAAATTAGGAATTACAGTTGACTTATTCATTATGTCTTCCTTATTATAGAATGAGTGGCGTAAAGAATTTTTTATTTTTTTGTTTTTTTATTTTAGGTGCCCCGAAAAGTCTTTACGGTCTTATCACTGAGTACCGCGGAAGAGCTTTTGAAAGGAAGTTAACGCCTCCTTCCTTACCGATGTTACTAAACTTGCCCAGAGGTGGCTTTGAACCACGGATCTCTAGCTTCTGAGACAAGCGCGCTAACCACTGCACTACGGCTGTTTAGGTTGCTGGCGCTTTATTGATTGGAATATCATTTAAGCAGGAAGTTCACGCCTCCTTTTTTACTAATGATGTACGTATTGCGAGAAACAGTTTCAAACTACAGACCTCCAGTTCTAAAGCCAGAATTCCAACCAATACTCACATTAAAGACTTGAAAAGAATTTCATTGCTTTATATATTAGCATATTTATTGTGAGATCTTTGAAAATAATCTATGACAGTAATGCAGACAATAGATTGTACCTATGAAAATAATAGATGACAGTAATACAGACAATAGATTGTACCTATGAAAATAATAGATGACAGTAATACAGAAAATAAATTCTAGCTTTGAAAATAGCTGTAACAGAATATAGAAAATAAATTGTTCCTTTGAAAATATTCGATGACAGTAATACAGAAAATAACTTGTTCCATTATAGCGTAAAAACAAAATTATCAGAATTTTTTCTGCACTCTGTAAACTAATAAAATCATTTGAAAAAGCAACTAGTTTTTTAAATAAAAAATATAACAGCTAAAGTTTTATTTTTTTTTTATTTCTGAAACCTTGAAATTTTACCGAGTCATGTTGGTTATTTGCTAATCAATATGATTCAAGATTCATTTGGAAGTGGATTGACAATCATGACAACGATGTATTTAGATCATCAAACTATCTAAATGAAATAAGTACCATTAAAAGTAGTGCCCAGCTACCATCATGCGTTCAAAAACTGACCAAAAATACGGGCCGGTCAAACGGATTAGAAAACCTTTTCAGAACTGTAAACCAAATACTAAGCAGCGATGGTAGAGCCATATTTTTACACGGTTTTTCTAAGAGCAAGTCAAGATTAGAATGATTTCTTCAGTGCAATGACTTAAAAATCACTTACGGAAAAAGAGATTCTGGTACAGTTTGGGTTGCTGCTTATCACATTGATTTATTTAATCTGGTAAAACATGTTATTTAATCTCGCAAGGTGTCTGATAGCTATTTTGTTAAGTTAGGGCTAGGAATTCAGGGTAGCAAAGGTTTTCTTAAGTTTTGTCTAAGCATTGTCAAAACTGCGTTAAGGGATAAAACCAACTCACCGCCATAACAACAAGTTCTCACTCAAAGGACTCACAAGACATTGAAGTTAAGAGACAAATATAAATATAATTTGCGGTCTACAAATTTATTCAAGTCTGCACCCTTGCGCATAGTGTGACATCAAATCAAAGTGTTTTGCCGAATATGTAAACTTGCAAGCATTGGGATTAATCAGATTTAGCCTCGAGTCTCTTCAGCAATCTGGTGGGGTTGTTGCTATCGTAAACCTATTTGGCAATGCCATTAAAAAGACAATCATTAGTGGGCTTGACAATGTTCTGATTTTGGAAATCATCCCACCAATAGAAATACATTTCCTCTTAGTATTTGTCAACCTCTTTTCAAGATCCTTAAAACTGCTTGAATAAAAGTTGTTAAACATAATGTAAAAAATATGTTTTAAATTTTTTCACTTAATTTTAAAAGTGTATTGTATTTATGAAGGTTTCAAAAGTTAATAAAAAAAATGTCAACAGAGACATATTTTTTTGTTTTTGGTTTTGCACATTTTTTTTAGCATTTTGACAGTAGTTTAGAAAGTATGCTATGCATGTGCCAAGTCAAACTGCGCTTAAATAGCAAAATTTTTTATTTTAAATTTTTTTAGGAGTCCTTACGGTCTTATCACAGAGCACCGTGGATGAGCATTTAATTGGAAGTTCACGCCTCCTTCCTAACCAATGTTGCAAGACTTTCCCAGAAGTCGGATTTGAACCACGGATCCTTTGTTCCTAAGGAAAGTGCGCTATCGCTGCGCCACGGCTGCTCATTCAAATCAATATTTTCGTCTAAAAAATGAAAAAAGGTACACGTACCAATAAAAAAATTATAACAAAAATTGTTGACATTATATAGTAAAACACTTATTTAACCATTCGTTTGGAAATAATGACCAAATATCACGGTAATCGGTAACGTTTGAAGTATAAATAACAAAAAACTAACAAAATTTTATCTAAAAACTGTCATAAATAGCGTATGGCTATATGCTAAATTTGTACGAATTTTTATGAAATAATATAGTTGTCATTCTACAAGCGTTTTTATTGGCGCAATATAAAGTCAAAATTTCACTCAATTTTAACTTTTAAGCTAAATTTTTTAATTCAAAAAATTTGCATTACAGGGTACCTTGATGCGTACGCTATCTGGTGTTCCTCGGTCAGCTAGTTTGATATTATCAGAATCTATGATAACCGTCACGTATCAACAAACTCTAGTACCAGATAAAATCTTCCTGAAAATTTTAAATAATTTTAGATGGAATCAATGGAATCAGATCAATCATCAAATTGATTTAGTTGTTTCCAAATGTAATATAAACTTGGGTTTATTAAATCGTCAAGATTACCATAAGAATTGCTTGAGAGATCTAACAATAGTCTTGTCAGAACCCACATAGATTTTGCTAGTGCATTATATGCTTCAGTTACCATGGCACATTTCAATAAACTTGATGTAATCTAAAAAAAAAAAAAAGAAAAAAAAAAGCAAGACTTTTTTCGTGCTCCTCGAAATGCTCGGCTTCTATTGAACCACCATGTCTCCAAAGTGGTTTATTTTAGATGAAAATTCCGGTCTATTTTAAATGAAAATTCTAACCAAGCATTAAAATTAAAGAAACATTCACAGACACTGAGAGCAATTCCATTAGAAAATAAACCTATAAATATTGTAAAAAGATTATGTATTACAGGAGCCAAGTTACGTAATCAGAAATATCTTTCATATTTGGAGAAAGCATACTAACAACTGAATGAAAGTCTTTTAGTGGTAGAAGGACCGATACACAGGAAAAAGCAGAAAAAAATAAAATTTAAATTTTAATAAATAAAATTTAAATTAAAAAATAAAATAAATAAATAATGGTATTGTGAATGTATAAAAAACTAAAAACTTAATCGAATAAAAAGCAAGTACTGATAAAACTCTAAAAAGGTAACTTAGGAGAGGTAAAAAGATGGCAACAACATTAGAGATAATCTATAGTTATTTACATGTAACTTATGACTATAAATTTATTAATTATGCCTATTTTTTTTAAACAATATACCTAAAAATATTTTCAAGATAAAAATTCAAATTTTGAACCTTTTGATACTATAATTGAAAAAAATAAACATAAAATAATCATTAAAAAAATACAAATTTTTTTTAATTTGTAAAATGCGCGTGCTTTAATACGTTTTTGGCAAATCTGTAACAAAAGAGAGACTCTGATGCAAAACTTTTCAAACGAGATGCATTATACGACTGATGCAAAAATTTTTGCATAGCTGTTATTACCGCTTTATATAATAAGTTACCATATGTACTAAAAACGTTCGTTTTGTATATAGGGCAACTTTTTCAAAAACTCTTCAAATTAAAATTTTTTTTTGCAGTTACTAAAGATTTGCGACAAAACAATCAGCTGAAAACGCTCACACTACTTTTTCGAATATTATCTTCTTTAATATACCGTTCTGCGTCGTTTAATACATCTTTGATAGAACGAACGCCAGCTAAAGTTTGGGCTCTGTTTAGGTTTTCATATTTATCACTCGTTCTCTGAACTTTTACGGAGGAGACATTTAACAGTTTTTTGGAAGCTAAAATAAAATTTGTTCTAAGAATTAAAATAATTAATTTCAATTTAATTTTCTAGACCATTAAATAACACTTTTACATATGCTGATATATATATATATATATACATATATATATATATATATATATATATATATATATATATATATATATATATATATATATATATATATATATATATATATATATACATATATATATATATATATATATATATATATATATATATATATATATATATATATATATATATATATATATATCAGCATATTTTAAAATATTCTTGTTTGATTGTGTACACACGCGAACCTAGAATGTTTATTAAATAAAAAATAGGAATTAGTTTCTAAATGCAGGCATGAAAATAAGAAAATAATTCAAATGTTACACTCAATATTTATCAATTTAACAAAAAAAGTAAAAATCCTATAGTAACCATAAATACAAATAAAAACTAAAAACAATAAAAGAATGTTCGAAATGTTGTAAAACAATTGAAGAATGTTCTAAATAAACATAATAATTACTTTCTTTAGACTCCAAACTAGCTACTTCATCATACATAGGATTTGGAATACCTAACTCCGTTGGGGTATCTAAATTTATAATTATAGATATTTAAATTAATAAAAAAGCTTATTATTAAAATTAAATTATTAATAAAATAATATCAGATAAAATTTACATTAAAAAATAATTTTATATATAATATTATGTATATAAAAATTGATTTTTGTAAATAAATAACATACTTGGAGGGACATTTTGATAGTGAGAATTCGAACATGTAGGTAGATTATGGTAATGAGGGGTTAACAAAGCTGTAAATCAGAAAATATACAATAATTCATCATCATCATCATCATCATCATCATCATCATCATCATCATCATCATCATCATCATCATCATCATCATCATCATCATCATCATCATCATCATCATCATCATCATCATCATCTATAAGATCTCCAAAAATTTTACAAATAAATATATTTATGAATTTATAACATTAGATGGTTACTAGGCAATAGCATCACTAGGGTCAGTCATCCAGTGTTGTAACTCAAGGTACCAACCTGTGCAACATCCCTTTATGTAACACCAAAGGTTTAATTCAGAACCTACCATTTCACATAACTTCAATTGTGATTCAATTTATACATAACTTCATTAATGAAATTCAGAAGTTTGCAGCTTCTTTATAAATTTCAATTTTAAAAACTCAGCATGAAACCACATATACATTTAATATGAAGAAAATGGTTTTTGAGCGAGAACACTGGGAGAGATTCTATGAAGTAACATTCAGCAACGAATTTCAAAATGACCAATACAGACCAGTATTTGGATTTTTTTAGGTCAAGCAAGATTGCTTGTAGGGCCCTTCTCAGCCTGAATATTTTTATTAAAAGCTTGACTTTTGATAAATTATTTGAAAGTGGTTTATATTGAAAGTAAAACCAGAAATTCTTCTTTAGTGGCTAAAGTGAGACTTGATGAACAAACCCAAGCAGCCTAAAATGTCTGCTACATTCTTGATGTTTGTAGATCTGATCAACCAAGATCTGATCTGGAGTTCAGAATAAAAGCAACTAGTAAACTAGTGCATCACATATTTTCTTTTTGTAGAGATATCTTATTTTTGCAGAGGTATTTATTGTTCTCAAAACTCTTTAACCTTGCTCTTCTTAAACCTGTTTTTTCTGTTTAATGAAATTCCATGCTGGTTTAATTTAAGAACTACTTTTTCAGTTGAAAGTTCACTATGTCAAAATATAAACTACTAACCTTATTCACAGCAAGAAAAAATTAATGTTTGTGATGTTTTTGATAGTTCTGTGAAAATAAATGTTTGCTGTGGTTAGTGGGTTAGAAGCCCTTATTACCCCTCCCCCCAAAATAAACCTATCATTAGAGCCCATCTTAGTAAATTTTCTACTAAGTATTACTTTTGCCAAATTGCCAAAGAGCCCCTGAAAATTTGCTGGGTCCTCCCCCTCCTCAATTGAGTGTTGGGTAGCCATGGCCATGTTTTTTAGAATGTTTTGAAATGTTAGAAAAATGTTAAAAAATTACTTAAAAAAAAGGAATTACAATTAAAGATTGGAAAAATATGGGGGGGGGGGGGAGGGGCAAATAAATTTGTCATGCCAAAGAAAATAAGCATAAACTTGGAGAGCCTACTTAATTAGCTCAAAACATTTGATTTTAGTAAGAGATTTTGTTTTAATAATTTTTATAAAAACATTAATTCTTAGAATAGCATAACAACTTTAGGCAAGTTCATGATGGAAAACATGCTTTGTTTTTGTTCTTCAAGTGGATTTCTCTAATTATTTTTTAAATTGTGGCAAGGTGAAAGATAGTCAGCACATTTTTACAAAAAGCAAGTTACTGTTTCTACTAATGCATTTTGGTGTCAAGAATCCACTGTGCTCTTCTGAGACCGCCAGGGTAAATTTTGGTTTACTCTAATTTTTTTGTTTAATTATTATTATTGGGGTTGGTAAATTGTTTTAAAATAATTTTAAAAATCTAAACTAACTTTTATACATACTTTTTTTTACAAAAACAGTTATAACTTATACTTTAACAAATGGGGAGGGGGTGGTAGGTAATAGATATTAGTATATTTCCTCCAGACCAAAGTTCCTCTGTTAAAACATCTTTTTTTTTAAAAAGGTTCCAAAATTTAAAAATTTATCTTATAAAAAAGACATTTAAAAAAAATGGATAGGGTATTATAATTTTAAAACAATTTTTTTTTAATCAAGCTATGGACACATAAATTATCATTAACAAAGTTTAATGCAATAAATGTAACAAAAAGATTAACAACTGGAATGCAAGTTCCTGATAATAATACTTTTTAAACAATAGCAATTATTTGATTATTATTGAAAATTTAACAATAATAGCAACACCTACTTAAAAAAATTTTTTTAATGAGAAAATGGCTACTTTAAATTGTTTATACCAAACTTAATTAAACTTTTCTTAAGCTGTTTTGCATAATCATTGTGTTCCAAACGACGCTTGTATCGTTTCCATACTTGATAGTGGTAGTGATGAGCACTTTCTCCAGCCTGCTCAGTATATACACCAAGCCCAAACTGACTATGATGAAGAAAAGGAACAAGATGACACACTAAAATGTGAACTTTCCAGCTAATATTTAATTCATAGTTAAACTTTTCCAGAAGATGAAGCTGCAGTTTTTCAAAAACGTTTTTAAAATCTAAAACTCATTCAGCAATAGATTCTCCAATTACTGAGCTGAAGCCTTTTTTTTTAATAATTGAAAACTTTCTAAGACTAATTAACTACAGGTTGTAGAAATATTATATTTGGCTGCATAGAGGCTGCACTTAGAAGATTAACTTTTAGATCATCTAATTTATCTAAAAGTCTCTGTGAATTGTTACCGTCCAAACCTATTCCATGGTAACCTCTAAACATAATATAGTTTGATTTAAGCCATGTGTCAAAATCAGGCCACAAAGTAATTAATACTTTTACAAACATAGAAGTAATACCAATGAAAATGTGTAACTCTGGAGGAGGGATAAGATGTTCCAATAAAGTTTCTAAAGGTTCATTGAGATATACAATTTGAGGAGAAATACAGTTTTTAAATTCCTTCATGTGATTATTTTTGCATTCATCTGCAACAAACTTATTGTAATTAATATCAATTGAACCTAAAGTTCTTTTTTCTCCACTCTCAACACCAGAGTCAAGCATACTTACCACTGTGGCTGCTTAAACCAAATAAAGAGTTACCACATTTTAGATCATCATTCATTCAACATCATTCAGCTCCAGTAGTTTCAATAGTTTGCTAAGATTTCCATTATGTTCTGAAACATCTTTAACTAAAGCTAAAACCAATGATCTTTTTACACCAGAATCATCTAGACTTTCTGAAGTTGTATTTTTGCATAATGGATCAAAAACATTTACAATACAATTAAGAAAACCCTGTCCAGCATCAATTGAAATTCTAACAACAGTGCAATAAGGATTCAAACCTCTTTCTTTAATCATGCGAAGAATTAAATCAGAAGTATCTTTTACTTATCTCTTCCATCCCTAAAATGAATGATTCAGTTTTTACATCATAAAAATCTGACAAAGTGTTATGCAGCTCTTCAATCTGAGTTGATATATTAGGTTCTAACATCATCTTTGTCGCATATTTTTGCAAAGTAGTTTTGTTTTTCTTTTACTTAGGTTTAGAGTATTTGAGATTTCCATTATAGCTTCAAAAGATAATTTTTTAAGGCATGCTCTGCTACCTTTATTATCAGGTGTGCCAACAACAACAAGAAGGTTGTTTCCAAAAGTCTTTAAAGGAAAATTATCTCCAGGTTTAATATTGTCCCTTTTCATTTTTTTTTTGAGAATCCCAGAAGCAACTTGCTCACTGGATACATTTCCAAGACCTTCTGCGAAACATAATTAGGTTTTTTACAGCCTCACTCCTACAGCAAAAATAAATAATTCCTTTTACCTGAATAAAAGTTAAAAGTATGACAACATTTTATTACTAACTTTGATATTATTAAATTTGTAAACCATAAAAAAAATGCACTAATATTGAATTAACATTACAACAATTTATACAATAATATATATATATATATATATATATATATATATATATATATATATATATATATATATATATATATATATATATATATATATATATATATATATATATATATATATACATTCTAAAAGTATATGTTATTATATAAATATTATAGAGAATTTAATTATTTTTAAAAAATTGAAAATAAAAACAGTACAACACTTTAAATTTGCTGAAGAATACCTATTGAAGTAAATCATGAAGGACATATCTTTTTAATAACTCTATCGATGATCTGTTGATTATCATTTGCCATCTGTTCAAATATTTCACTAAAATCAGATGATCTTCTGAGTTTTTGTCTGTTAATTTTAAATATTTTTTCAATCCAATCATTCAACTTTGATGTTTCACCCCTGTTCAATGCATATAAATTTGTTTTGCAAGAAGTACAAATGTTTTTCGGACAACACTCTTTGTCTATGTCATATTCTCTCCAAAATAAGTTTTGAATATGGAGTTGTATTGCAGGAGTTACTTTAATAAGTTTTTTTGATCCTTTTCCAAAGGCAATAAAACAACAAGCACAAATTAAACATTTTGCTTCAACAAAAAACATGTATGTTTTACCTGAATGCTTTACGAAATATTGCCGTAAGTTACGGTAACATAGAGTCTTTTTATCCGTTTTGAATAGATGATGTAAACTTAAAATGACGTAATTTTTATAGATATTTTAATTCATTAAATCTCAATTTTTGATGTTAAAAAGTGAGTTTAGATTTTAAAAACTATTTTAAAACACTTTACTTAACCCAATAATAGTAATAATAAAAAAAAAATTTAGAGTAAACCAAAATTTACCCTGGCAGTCTCAGGAGAGCACAGTGAATCGTGTTCATCAGTTGCCATAGCTTCAAATGATTTAAGCCATTTGAAGAAACCTATTGTTGTATTTGTTAATAATTTAATTATAACCACAATAAACCAAGAGTGAAAATGCTACATGTTTAGACAGATGAACTGAGTAATCAATTTAAAAATCTTTTTAATGCATCAGCAATAATCTAGTTAAAACAGTAGCATAATAGAAAGTTTAGCTGGAAACTTTTTGTTTCTTCACATGGAAACGGCCCAGTAGATGTTATTGGTGGTACCATTAAAAAATAGTAATCAAAAAGTAATCAAAGCAAAAAGTAATCCAGAAAAAGGTATTAACAGCTTTTACTATTAAAAAGAGACTATTTTCAATGTTTTCTTTTATTTGTTTCTATTGTAATGCAAAGTATGTAGTAACACAAGTAAACATTTTTTTTGAAAATTTTAAAACATTGTATGTATAAAAAGTATATAAAAAGTAAGCTTTTGTATATATAAAAATTGTTATATAAAAAATGTATTAAAAGTAAGGCATAAAAATAACATATATATCATTCCTTATTCTTTTTTTAACTTAAGAATTTTTAACTTTAGAATTTCTTTAATTAAAAGATTTTAGAAATTTTTAATAATTTAATAGAATTTAGAAAGAAGATTTCGACTAATAGAATTTAGATTGCGACTTTTAGAAAAAAAGACTTTTAAAAAGATCAAAGTTTCAAAGTTATTTGTACAGTTGAACACAAACTTAATTACTTTGAAACTTTCTAATGTGGATAAAATTATAGTTATTTGTTCACATATGTGATAGCGTAGTTATCATATATGTGAACAAATTATTAGACACTAGATAATTGATCTCGAGTTTCAATTATTGTCTGGTATCAGTGCAATACCTTACAGTATTGGTAACGAAATCACAAAATACTGGTATCGAAAGTATCATTAATGTTGGTATCGTTTGATATTGCTGCAATACCTTACAGTATCGATATTGAGATCACGCGATACTGGTATCGAAAGTATCGGTAATGTGGATTGTTTGGTCTAGGAGTGATACCTTACAGTATCAACAAAAGTTATTGCTTATATTTGTAATGTTTAATATCGATAGAATCATTTAGTATTGCAACTCAGGTCATCATGAGAACTCACATTTTATTTTTATAAACGATTAGTAATTTGAAATAGTAAATTCGTATAACAAATGATAAACATCATGTTTATCATTTAATTTCTCATCTGATATCTTTGTTTTAAATTAAATAATTGTGTGGTATCACTTCTGTATTTTAATTTCTCATCAGTTATCGTTATTACAATTTTTTCTATCATAATAAAAAGCAAAGAAAAGATTTTGTTTAACATTTATTTCTATATTAAATTATTACAAACATTTTATTATTTTTTTCAAAAAAAAAAGAATATTTATATAACCATTCAATATATTTATTAGCAAACTATCTTTTAAATTTTCTAAAATCATTTTAAACAATCAAACAAAACAGATGTTTTATTTTAAAACACGCAGACCTTATTTTTTATATATTTTGGTCTGACTACCCCCCTAGAACAATAACCTGAATCCGCCTCTGTAATAATCCTGAGATTAATTACCGGCAGAATTGTTTTTATATATAATACATTAACCCGCTAATTATTAATTATATTTTAGAGAGTGATACCTTAACTGCAACAATTATATTTAACAATGGTTAATTTAAAGTTTTCATTAAAAGTTTCAGTTCAAAAATGAGGACAAATATTTCTGTTAAAATATTTTTACAGAAATATTTCTGTTAAAAAAATTATAAAATTATATAATCTATGAATAAAATTTTTTAAAATTAACATTTATCATAAACATATTACCTTTATCTATTTTTGTGATATTGTAATATGAAGGTCCTTGAGGACTCGTATTACCAGAGCAAATGTCTTGAACAATAATGCCTTTGCAATCAGACGATTCTTCAATAGCTGTATTATTATAATATAAATTTTTTTCACTAAAATGAGGTTCAACATCTTTACTACTATGAACAGTGTCATAAGTTGAGCACTCTTGCATTCCTCTATTTGGAACAGAGTCATATGTTTCATGACATGAGGGTAAAACATTGCAATCTAAATCAAATGAAAAGTAAACTTGAAATTAAACTAGAACCTTTTTCTTTCTAAAATGCAAACATTATTAGAATTTATTTGTTACGTAAACAAAAAATTTGCTAAAATAAAACTTATTTTGTATATGTTATTGTTTTTAAGCCTGGATTCTCAGAGTCCTTCCTGCCTTTATACCTACGGACTCGGGGTTCTAAAATTGATTATTCCTCTAACTTTTAAATCTTAATTTTTTTAAAAAGTTCATAAACTTTTTTATATTTTTAGAACTTATAGATATCAAAAAATAGTAAGAAGAAGTCTATTTTGGGACTCAGCATTCTTGGTATATATGTATTGTATGTATGTAAAGCCTAAAAATACAATCATTAGTTGCAAAAACATTTCTACACAGTTAGTCATGCTATTCAACATTTTTGTTAAACAAAATTAATCAAATATAAATCTGGTGGTAAAAAAAAAAGTTTCCAAGATATAAAACTGATTAAAAATCTGGTTTCAAGACTAGCCCAAGCCTCTCACCAAGTAAACACGCAAAAAGATATAGATTTTCTCATAGTTTTGTTGTAAAAGTTTAAAATAAACATGGCCTTCATACTTTCTAAACACAAAAAGTGCCCAACAATTTTAAAACTAAAAAAAAAGCGCAAGTCATGTTATTTCTTTTGCAATCATAACTAAACTTGTATTCATCGACAGATTTGGAATTTCATTTATTCTCTTAGTGTTCTGAAATTATGACTATGTAAAATTCAGGCTAACATTTTATGGTATTTGTTGTTCCCAGTCTCCCAATCATCACAATTTTTTGCATAGCATATTTTTCCTCATAAATATAAAGATACTCAAATATGGAGGCTTTTTTTGTCTAAAAAAGTTGTCTACCACCTTGTGCTTTATTACCATTGTTTATACCAGCCATTGGTGATGTCTGCAACAGTAGTCATGTCTATCAGACATAACTACTGCTGCTACAAAAGTGAATATTGACTATTAGCTTCTAAAATCAATCTCATCAACCAGAGGTTTATATTTGCTATGTTGAATATACCTCTTAAGCAATACAGGACCAGAATTTATAACCATGTAGGAATGAAGTGTCAATTAGAAGAACATCAATTGAAACCAAGTAATTGTTTATAAGGTATAGCGTTAGTAGAAATGCAAAGTAAGAAACAAAATGAATTAAGTACATTTGTTATGTTGATTTTAGGTGCCCCAAGAAGTCCTCACGGTCTTATCACAGAGCACCGCGGAAGAGCATTTAATAGGAAGTTCACGCCTCCTTCCTAACCGATGTCACAAAACTTGCCCAGAGGTGGGGTTTGAACCACGGATCTTACGTTTCTGAGGCAAGTGCGCTACCACTGCGCCACGGCTGCTTAAACATTTGGTAATACATGTCCCCAGCTTGTTGTAAACAATTTCTTTAATTTGAAAGCAAGTGAAATTCTTTTCCAAGTTGTTGCATCTCTCACTTTGATGAATACTCCAAAGATTATAAAGATTAACATTGACACCTTGAGAATGATAAAAAATTAAGAAGCTCAGTTGACATGAAGCTAGTGCATCTATCTGTATGCATAAAAGCTGGCATACCAAGAAAAACAAAGAGTTGAGTTGAACATTTAATTTTCTTAAAGAGTATGTAGCTCCATAAAAGAAGTTATTACAGTAAAAGAGATTTATTACAGTACAATAGAATAAAAAAGATTTTTTACAATAGAACAACAAGATCTGGAGCAATTAGGAACAAAATTGTTTCTAATTGCTCCAGATCTGTCATAGCTGTCATACAGCAATAGAGCATATTACAGTTGGGAAAAGTTTTTGAGGAAAAAATGCAACTTTTTATCTAGCCTGATTGAGAGAAGCAGCATAATGGCAGCATAAATAATCAGTTCTTCAAATAAATTATTTTTATTACTAATTTAGAGATTAACTTTTTCATCTCAATTTAAATAAAACCAGAATTTAAATGAAACCAGGATTTAAATGAAATGGGAAATTAAATGAAACCAGAATTTAAATGAAACCGGATTTTAAATGAAAGGCTTTAAGTGATCTAGATCATATAATAAAAGAGCCATTTTTATAATAAAAAAAAGGAGGTTTATACACAAAGTAGACAATACTGACTGTCGCTATGACGTCAATATTGACTTTTCTTCATTGAATGTAAACATAGCTTTATTGAAAGCTTCAAAAAGTTTCTCAAAATTGAAATCATGTTTATTTTTAGGTGTACCACATACAATTGAGTTATCGACATACCATGTACAGATGTACCACATACAATCAAGTTACAAAGGTTTCTAATTTATTTTCTAGAATAAAGTTACCCATCTTCGAAATTTTTCAACAGCATTAGAGAGACCAAAAGCTCTCCCAATATTACCCATAAAACTTGTTATTCATTCCCAGTAATATATAATTTGTGATATCCAAGGTTATTGGTTTCAATTAATCTATTTCTAAAAGTTTTTTTGTTTCTTGTTTAATAAATGTTTTGTCCTTTGAGTTATATCATTTTGAGCGATTGGTCTATATTCAGGGAATAGAAAAGGGAAAAGAGTGGTTGCTTTTATTGTAGCAACTTTTAAGGAACAGATTTTTAAAGACTTTTTTTTCACCACCATAATTGATACTTTTGTGCAACTCTAGGAAATTAGGTATAACTTGTTTGCATGAATTGGGTACAACCAAAAAGGTATATTAGAGTACTCCATACCATACAAAGTAAAGTTAGTTACTACTTTACATATAACCTGACAAGATAGGAAAGGATCAGCCATGAAGACTCTTTTATTAGAAGGACGTATGTTAGGGTTTAACAAGTCACATAATGATTTCCTTATAAATGTGTCTGAGCTTCCAGTATCATAAAGAGCTCTTACCTTGAGTCCAGCAATAAATATATAAACAACAAAATTGAGTAGTTGATAGTAGAGTAATTAATATCGACTAAATTTTAAATTGAAGCATAGAATTTGGCAGCAGCTAACATGATAAAATTCTTTGATAACTTGCATACATTGTATATCTCAAAATGTCCTTTCTTACCACAATTTCTACATTCTATAACAATTGCGGATGACATTTATTTCTACAGAAATAACATTCTATAAAATTAAAAAAAGTCCAACTAAGTTTAGAAACAACTCCTGACTTGCTACTAAGCTTAGTGGGACTAACATTGGCCTTGAAAAGCTCATGAGGAATTTTTCTGAAAAAGGTCCATTTTTGAGGGATTTTACTGTATATGCTTTATTTGAAGGCCAAATAATCTTTTTTAATCATTTTGAAAATATTTTGACCACATAAAAAGGTTAAATAACAAACTTGAGATTTGGAGTGTCGTTTCAATTCTATGATTACAAAACATTTAAAAAATACAGGGGTCAACAAAACAAGTAATAATTAAATTTAAAACAAAACAGTTTTAATGATAAAATGTTTTAATTGAAAAAATCTATTTAATTTTACAAGCAGCTTTTTTTAATACTTAAAAATTATCATGATTTTTTAAAATTAAATAATTTCAGAATTATGAATTCCCATCTGACCACCATGATCTTAATTTAACTCCTAACACAATTGTTAGGAGCAATTTTTGTGATGTAATAAGAAACAATTTTTACAATTATTTTTTAGGCCAATGTTAGATAATGTTTGGATTTTATTATGCAAAATACTAATATGCTAGAGCTCAAGCTAACACGTGAAAGCAGATAATTTAAAAAATTAACTTGTGAAAGCATAAATAAAGTGAATAAAAAATTATTTGTCAATCATTTAAAGAATAAAGTAAAAAAAATTTTATTTCTCAAAGACCCTTTAAAGATAAAAGCATAAGGCCTGTGCAAGATTCCCACATAGTCTTTGGAGCCAGCATGCCACTAGTGATCAGGGTTGTCTGGAAGACAAGATCAAAAAAACTGGATAATTATGATGGTTTTTATGATTAATGTTTTTAGAAATTTTTGTCATGTTTTAAGTTTTGCACTTGACTCATTCATAGGTAATGCATCATATAAAAATTAAGCACTTGACTCATTCATAGGTAATGCATCATATTGCATGCATTGCCTCAGTCCTGCTAATTAAACCAAAGTAAAAAAAAAACTAATTTTTTTATGTAACTACAGCTCAATTTATCTACTTTTAACTGTTATTTGTAATAAACTATTTGAAATATACTATGTTTAGTTACAATGACCTTTGAAACCTACTAATTTTAGTTGCATGACCACATAGGTAATTTTGATGAGGGTCAGCTTCTTAGAGTTTGTAGGATCTAAATATTTTCAAAATATTGTTTTTTCAGCTCAGTCTGTGGTGGTAACTGATCCTTGTTTCATTTCCACCAACCAAGTACATCCAACTTGCACTTTTAGGGGATTTTAGGCATAGCATTTTAGGAATCCAGCTCACCAAAAACGTTTACTTTTGGTTGTAGTCCTAACAGAGTGTCATTTTCTAGCTTTGTTCCCTTAGAAAAGGGAGGGGAGCTTGCAAAAAAAGGAAAACCTTGCTATCTTGACAGCAGTTTTTGGTATTCAATATTTTTATATACATTATACAACTTTATTTAAAAATAGAGCTATATTCTATTTAAAGTCAACCAGCTGTAGCGCATCCAATACCGGTAGTATCAATACTCGAATATCGGTATTACCAGCTTTTTTAAGTACCTAAATACAGGTATTGTGCTGGCTAAATACTACTATAAAAAATATATTGTGCGCTTTCTTCAAGTAAAACACAAAATGGAATATTTAAAACTTCTAGGTGCAATAAACAATGCTCATTCAGCTTGTAATGAGAATATAAAATCACGCTCGAGAGTTTGCAAAAGAGGAATTTCTTTAATTGATTCTTTATAAAAATCTTTTTAAAGATGAAACTATTTTTTTAACTTTGTTTAATTATTTAATTTAAAAGTAAAACTCTTTCTTCCTTCTATTAACAAAGCAGGGTATTTCCATTTCATTTTTCTTTGTTTTTACAATTAGAAGCCAAGACTTATAGCAATAAGCATACTATTATGATTTTCTTAAAGAACTCCAACATATTTTTTTAATATTTTATGCTAAAACAACTTTTGTTTTATTTTGTGTGAGTGTGTGTACTTATATAATTTTGTGTGAGTGTGTGTACTTATATAATTTGATAATAGTGCAATGACACAGTATTTTAAAAATATATAATATTTTTCTTAATGCTATACTCTAGCATGAAATATTTAATGACTGCTAATTCTCATCAAAATATATTAAATATAAGTTGTAGAAAAATAATGTTTCACTTGAAATACTCACAAGCATTTTATTTCCATAATAATAACTACATAAAATTGACAAATTTTCAACTTCCATGCGTGACTATACATGAACTGGATGAAATGATTGCTGTTACTTATATAATTTGATAATAGTGCAATCCTGTAACATTCGGGAAATTTTTACTAATATTTAAGATATTATTTTCAAAAAGGTATACTGCTGGAAATTATATTTTACAAGGAATTAAAGTTTAGTTTTCTAGTAAATGAAATTTGTGTTTTTCTGTTCCAAGCTTGATTCCGCTTCAAACTTAATTTATTCTAAAGAATACCATTCTTTGTAAACAAAATATTTCTAAAGATTAGAATTAAATAAGATTAAATTGGAGATGGCCAGTTTTATTATTAAGAAAATAATAGACATATACAAGCTTCCATTTAAAATCTTTGTGTTATGCTAGTTTAAAAAAAGTTTAAAATTAATATAACATGGAAACATGTTTACTTAGCAGATGAATTTAAACTCACAAGAAGAGTTTTAATTTTGTAAAATGATTTAACTGATTAAACAATTAAATTTAACTTTAATTTAAATTTAAAGCAGACTAACTAAGATTTTAATTAAATTAAAACCTTTTAGTTAACTAAAAAATTAATTTAAGAAATAAAGTATATTATTAATTTTTGTAAAAATATATGGAATTACTTGTAAAATAGGTCTTAATAATAAAAAATAAAATATAAATATTATTAATTTCTTGTTTACAAATTTTTTACAAACTTTTTGTTTATTTCTTGAAAACAAGAGTTTTTTGCAACAAAGATCGTTCCTTAGGCCTGGTAACAAAGATCGTTCCTTAGGCCTGGAACTGAACTACATCCTTAGGCCTGGCACAGATCGTTCCTTAGGCCTGGCACAGATTGAACTGAACTACATGTTACCAGTAACCAAGTTAATTTAATTTCTGAGTTAATTTAAATTCTGAACATAAACTGAAAAGTAGTAATGATAAGTAATGATATAATGATAACTGTTAAGTAATTAACAAAAAAGATTTTATAACTAAAAACATAGTGTGAGTGAAAATAGTTTTTAAAAGATAAATAAAAACTTAATTGTTTGTTTAGCTAAAAAATAAAGAAATAAATTAATAAAGATCTTAAATAGCTAAATTAAAGTTCCACATCATTTATTTGTTATTCAACAAAAAAAAATCAAAAAGTTAACAATATAATAAATCAGTCACTAATTACAGTTCTAAATTTTTAAACTATTAAAAAAAAAAAGCAGAAAAAAAAATTAAAAATAATAAAAAAAAAAAAGAAGAAAAAGATACAACAAATATACTACTTGACTTTTAAATCTTATAATTATTAGTTACACTTATAAAATTGTTTATTTATATAAAATTGCTATTTAATTTTTTTTCTTTTCTTTTTTTTTTTCTTTATGGTTTTCATTTTATAATACATATATACATTAACAGCTTCTAAAATATATAAATTATTCTTAAAATGAATAAACCTACACAAAGTATCAAATAGGTATGTCCTAGTCAATAAATATTTTACTTAAGTTCCATAATTTATTCAAATAAAAAAGAACAAGGTTTAAAATGTTTTTTTAGCATAAAAATTAATAAAACCTAACAATAAACCAGAATTAAAAAAGTAAAATATGTAAAAATATAAGTAAAAATATGAAAAAGTATTAAAAACATAAGAAACCTTCTTGATTAGGTAATTCGTGATCAATAAATTGACCTTTAAGTAGCTTCAGAATGTCTGCAAAAAGAATTCGTTCCTCTGGATCATGTTTCCAGCATTTTATCATAATCTCATAAATCCATTGAGGACAATCATCTGGCATTGGAAGTAAAACTCCCTTGAATATAGATAAACTGTAGATTAATAAAATATTTTTTATTTAGTCAAATGTAAAAAAAAAAAAAACATGTAATGACCTTTTTAATAAACTCAACTACTTCCTCATTTGTGTATCCATAAAAAGGTTGCATACCAAAAGTAAACACTTCCCACATTGTTACACCAAATGAAAAAATATCTGTAGCAACAGTAAATTTTCCATACAGAATAGCTTCAGGAGGCATCCAACGAATAGGCAACAAAGCTTCCCCTCCAACCTTAAAATTGAACAATTGTAAACACAGAAATAGTTAATGTAAACAAAGATATAGTTATTTTTATAAATATAAAAATAATATAATTAACAAAACATAAAAAAAAAAAGTTTTAAATAAAATCTACATTCAAAATACATTATGGTTTTGTTTTATAAAGATTTTGAGTCATTTACCAGAGTACTATCATATTATTATATTATGAGACCAAAGACATCATATTATACAACAAAAAATAAGCTAAACAAAAAAACCAAAAAAAAAAAAGAGCACCCTCATCAACTGCATTATCGTGAAATCTGAACCATAAAACATTTTGTGAATTGGAAACCTCTTTTAAGGTATGTTATATCATATTATATTATACTTACAATTATGAGTATAAAAATTGATATTATTTTATGCTCTTTTAAAGGGATTGAGGATTGTGCATGTCAGCATGTAATCAATTGACTTTGCAATATCACAGATGACAATTATCAAACACAACATGTTAAAGATATTATGTATTATAAATGTTATGTAAATGTAGATTTCTTAAAGTCATTATTTTAATAATTTTAAAATAACCCCCTAATGACTTTTCATTAAGAATGATGACTTGATAACTTTTCTTTAAGGGTTGTCCATATATTAGGACACACAATTTTAGACCCCTCCTAGTAACAAATCGTCACATTTTACTGCCTATCCCCCTAAAATTAAATAACAAATTTGATCTCCGCCCCCCTAAAAATATTTTAGGGGAATTTAAATACTATAATGTTTTTAATTTTCTCAGCTGCTTTAACTTATCTAATAAATAAATTATAATAAATATAAATTTTAATTATTTTTTATTTAATATTACTTTAAAAGTCATAATTTGTAGGCATATACAAATAATAAACCCACAAAAAAATGATTTAATTATTTAATTTTTTCCAAAAAAATATATGGGCATAGAGCGGTGAATGTTTAAAATTATTAAATATTCGCAGTGTAGTTAATACATACATCGACTGACTTAAATAGGTATGGGGGGAAATCGAGTGTATATACATACTTTTTTTCTCTCCTATAGCTCGATATAAAGTTGTATAAATTAACAGTGACTATACGGATAAATAACCTCTGAAGATATATTTAATTTTTGATAAATATTTAAATAACTTCTTTAACAAGTTAGTTCATGGTGCAGGATATTTTAATATAACATTTAAATTAATGTGTACCAACTCTTGTTGTTGTTTAATAACTACTATATTATCATTTTTATTTATTGATTATATTATTATTAATTATTTTTGGATGATATATTGGCTATATCATTGGTTGATAAAGCTCTAGACGCAGCCGAGTCTACATTAATCTACTAAAATTCAATTAAATTTAAAAAGTCAATTCCAATTTAAGTTAAATTGGAATAACTGCAGTCTAGTGTACATCAACTGGGGGTTTATGTTTTAGCCTTGGCATTCCTTTAATCAATAGAAAAAAATTTCTGTATTTAAAAATTGAAAAAAAAATGTTGCATCAATTTTTTTTCAAATTTTCATCAAAATTGAATACCCTCTCCCCTGTAACAAATTGTCACAAAACTGCTAACCCTTCACCTCCCCCCCCCCCAGCCCATTACATGATATAATTTGTGAATAACACCTCAAGAATGATGACTTAATGAGTTTTCATTAAGAATAATGACTTAATAACTTTTTCTTAAAAGTGATGGCTTAATGATTTTTTATTGATGAGTGATGACTTTTTATTAAATTTAAATATTCTACAAACTATTATTTTCTCTAGAAATATTTTCCATATAGAATATTTAAAAATAGAATTTTATTATCTTATACTTAAAAAAAAGTTTATTCCATGATTTATTCCATGAAAAGTTTTTTTTTTTTTGTTTAAATATAAAAACTGTTTGTTGCAACTATAATAGGAACTAATTATATAAAAATAGATGCAAAAATACTAGCTTGTTGAAATTCTTTGGGTTTAACTCACAACTATAGATGAACTTAATGAAAACAATCAAATCATTTTTTGAGAAAAATGAATTCATACCTAAACTGAACTGCAATCATAACTTTAACTTAATTTTGAGTTTCAAGTTTTATAAAACTTTTTTAAAACACTTATTATATTTTTTCTCAAAAAATAACAATTTTAAATAACATTAAAAAAAAAAAAAAAAAAAACTCTAACTCTATAATAATCACTATGATATATATCTCTTGACATTCCAAAATCAGCAATTTTTACTAATAAGTCTTTTCCAACCAAACAGTTTCTTGTAGCTAAATCTCGATGAACAAATTTCTTTGATGCTAGGTGATTCATTCCAGAAGCTATATGCTTGCATATTGTAATCAGGTCACTGTCACTTAACATCGCTAAAAATAAATAAAAAATATTTAAATAGCTTCTCAAACAAACATTTAATTAGAGTTTATCTGAGTATTGCAGAAGCATTTTAGTACCTTTCTTTTTGTAAGTAAGTAATGCTAAATTTGTGACCCAGTTGCCTATGGGGTAGTAAATATGAAGAAAACCTCTATAAATTTGTATATTTATTATACACAAACATAAAAAAGTTTTTATGAGATTTAAGGACATTTTACAAGATTTTTTTTTAACTTTATGGAGATTTTACAAGATTGGATAAAGCTCTTTGTGGTACCAACCTCAAATAGTTTCCTTATGAAACTATTTGAGGTTGGTACCACAAAGACATGATTCATTTATATTAGCACAATTTAATTAGTATTAATTTTGTGTAAACTTAACTTCAGGGCATCTTTATTTTTCATGTGTAACTCAACCATTACTTTTTTTTGTACTTTCATAGGGGGATAAGGAAGGTGGTTAAAAAGACATATCTAAATAAGATTCTCATCAGGTATTTTATTAATAATAGTTTAAACTATTATTATCAAAAAAAATACCTATCAAGATTACAAGAAAAAGCCATTTTAAATTTACAGTCAACTAATAATGCCCTGTATTTGATAATTGTGTATGAAGAATATGGTAAAAACAGCTCTTAACCCTGACATATAGTTGGCATTCTACATAACAACTTCTCCAATATTGTTAAAGCCAATCTTATGCTACTTACTATCAAGTTTATTTCTACAAATTCTTTGCATCATTAGGCATTAGTTATTTTACAAATTTTTTTAGTTCATTCCATAAAATTTAGATAATCTGGTGAATAAGGAGCACTATGATTTCTGAGACCTAATTTTTGCATTGTTTTTTTTTTTCGTTTATTGCGTTTTTAGAGTTATTTTTAAAAATAATATTTTATGTTATTTTAGTTTTATATTTAGTTATTTATAGTTATATAATTACTAATATTTTATATATTTTATTATAGATTTATCTATTAGGAAAGCATGCCTGAAGGCCCTGAACATTACTTAGCAAGTGACTTTATTAATCAGAGCATGTTTTAATGATTTCTGAGATTTTTGGGCATAAATTCTTTTTTTTAAAGTATAAAACTAATTTCTATAATGTAGCAATAAAACACTTTTTTTAAATTAATAGTTTAGTTTGTTTATGATAACGCATGTTAAAAATATTTTTTATCTCACTCGTGTTAAAAATATTTTTTATCTCAGTTTTTATTTCTTAGTTGAATTTAGATATTTAAAAACTTAGTGAATAAAGTGAGTAATTAATACATATTATTTTAATTAATAAATGATATTTAATAATTTCAATTTAATTTAAGATTTTGAAATAAGTACATACAGGTATGTACTTATTTCAAAATATATAATTAAATTGAAATATAGCATATTTACATTAATTATATAAAACCAAATCACAGTGGGCACACAAATGTTAGTTTGTGCTAAATGTTGTTATTTAGGTTGTAATAATGTTGGATTAACATTGGAAATGGAAAAGATGGATAATGTTAGATTTTCCAATGTTGATTTTTCAACATTATAACATTAGATTTTCTAATGTTAATCAACCTTGTCATTTCAATGTAAAAGCAACATTCCACTTTCTAATGTGCAAAACAATATCACTGTTAAAGAAAATAGTTACTAATATATAGTAATATTTTATAAAAAATTCAAATGTAATTAAATTTACTTGGTTTTGATGAAAAGTTAAAACTATTAATTATAATTTAATATTATATTTATTTAAAAAAAATTAAATATTAGAAAAATTTGATAGCTTAAAAAGAAATATATATATATATATATATATATATATATATATATATATATATATATATATATATATATATATATATATATATATATATATATATATATATATATATATATATATATATATATATACTTTACATATATATATATACTATACACATAAATATTTACCTTGTGGAATTACAGACAAAACCCTTATAAAAAAAATTGAATATTCATTAAAAATAATATTAAGGTATTATAACATTGTAACTCCAATAAAAAATTCTGTTAGTGTAGCCATTGTTATTACATTGTTCAGAAAATAACATTAGTGTAAACAACATTATTAAAACGTTGTAATTCTGATAAATAATAATCAATGTTATTACAATGTTAGAGTGTGTTGATATTGCCCAACATAAACCCAACATTGGATCAACGCCCCACTGAGCAGATTTATAATATATTTTTTTCAGTATATTTTTTTTCTAAACTTTAAAGTGACTTCTAAAAAGTCCCCATAATTCTCTTAACAAAATTTCGCATGATTAAATTTAGTTGATGTTTAGAAATATGTTACAACTTTCAAAACTTGCATATAGTTGTTCCAATCAAAAACTGTTTTGATGTATTCATTTTAATAAAATAATTTATTTAATGTATGGTTTCAAAAGAAAGAAGAAAATGAGAAAAGTTCAAATGTTGGATCAATTTAAAAGCAAAAATTCAGATTGATTGAAGAAAGAAACTACACGATTTGATAATTACATCAACATCTCCTGGTCATTCAATTCTAACAAGATCATCTATACACAGAAAAATCCATCCAAGGCCAAAAAGATTGGAATATCCATAATGAAAGCAAAGAAGCTAATAACAACAAAGAAGGTTGTTATTAGCTAATGATAATTCTTCATTATCATTGTCATCATTGACAGCAATGATGACAATGATAATGAAGAATTGATTTTTTTTAACCATTTAGATTTAACTGAATTGGACATTAATGTTTGACATAGCAAGCAGTAGCACATTATTTTAAAAAATAATCATTTTTTTTTTCAGATTTATCAATTTAAAAAAACCTTTTTGCTATGTTTGATCATGGCACAATCATTATAGCACTTCCTTAGTGAATGATATTTAAACTCAAACTGTAAGTAATTTTCAAATTTATTTAGAAAATTATTCAGATTTATTTAAGGAGCTACCCTGAGTAAAAATTACAAAAAACAAAAAAACAAAAAAATTTACTAAAAAATTACCAGTATCTTTATTTTTTCTTAAGTATTCATTCAAGTCGCCATTTTCCATAAATTCAAATATCATACAATATGGCTCTTCTTCAGTAGAAACAGCTAACAACCTTAAAATGTTTGAATGCTTTAATGCAGACATCAATTTCACTTCTTTATTAAATGCTTCAAGTACTTGAAGTGACGATCCTTGCTTTAAACATTTTACAGCAACATCGGTACTTTCCTCTTCTTTTACCACACCATGTATTCGCCCTATTTAAAATAATTATTTTTAACAATATTTTTAACACAATATTTATGTTATAAAAGTAATATTTTACCTTGAAAAACCTTTCCAAATTGACCTTCACCAAGGTCACGTATATACTCCACACAATCTAGCGGATACTGGATAATTTCACCTGGTTCTACAGATGCAAGCAACTCTTGCAATGGATTGTTATTGAATGCATTTTCACGTATATGGTCACGAATTGATGTCATTGTATTTAGTTCTTGAAATGAAACTTTTTGTTCACCTTTTCTTTTTTTTTTTGTACATTTGCGACGAAGCAAAATTGTAATTACAATCATAATTAACAAAACAATCAATGCGATAATAGGAATAAAAAAAACTTTGATCCGAAAACTTTTCTTTTTTAATGGTCGACTTCGATCTAAATTTAATTACGAATTCAACTAAGTACTTTTATTAAAAAGAAATTTTTTTAAAAAAGCTTATATTTTGTTATCTTTATTATTATTGTTAATTATTGTTATTGTTAATTATTACTATTGTAAATTATTATTAATGTTATTATTTCTTCTTATTGTTGCTGTTATTATTATTATAATAATAATAATTATTAATATTATTATTATTATTATTGTTATTGTTATTGTTATTATTATCATTATCACTAATATTGGAAATTTTAAACCAAAACTTAAATTTAAGTGATTTGTTTATTATTATAGATTTATTAGACAACCTTGTTTATTAAGGATAGTGTTTCGGAGTTATAGAGTTTAGAGAGCGTTGTAACCAGAACTAAATTAGCCCCCTTGACTATAGTGGTCTTCTTGACCTTGTGTAGTTGAATTAACATTAAAAAAATGTGAGTATGGGAAATTAAATTATTCTATGATGCTTTTTTTTTTTCTTTTTAGGATAATGGGATTTGTCCCAAATGCCTTCCACTTAGTTGCACAACTGAATATTGAAAAATTATAATTCATAGTTTATAATTATAACTATTTGTTCATAATTTGGCAGCAACTTTTCTGTCAAACATTTTTGTTAAAAGTTATAGAGTTCACAGGTGTTTTGAAAAAAAAAATGAAAATAAGTCAACATTTATACTAATTTTTTATTTTGTAAAAAGATTACTATAAAAATTAACTGTTAAAAATTCATAAAAATAAAAAGAAATGTGGAAAGTTTAGAAATGAGAAAAGTTTAGTTAGAAAACATAAAAATAAAAAATAATAAAAAGAATAATAAAGTTAGAGATTTAAAATTATTACTTAAATTGTAATCTAATCATTAGAAAGAAATTTTTGAAATTTGTTTAAGAGTTTTTATTTTAAAATTGTTTTAAAATCAAGTTTAAGTCTTCTTGCCATTCAAAATTTGGACCTACTGCAAATTTTAGACCATTGCTAATTGCAATGGTCTAAAAGAATTTAGTTATATTAGCAATGATTTCAATCAACTGAAATAGGATATTGCAACTGCTGTGACAAATCATGTAGATAAAAATTTTTGTTGGAATTAGAAACTGGCAAAGTAGTTGCCCTGTTGCTTTCTTTTCAAGATTACTTAGCTTAAACACCCCTTTATTAAGAAAGAACCATGCACAGTTCACCAATCTATATTCTCTCTCTTTGAAAAATACTACAAATAAAAATTGATACAATTTATTGATTAAAAATTGAATTATTTTGTTATGATAATTAAAATTATGACATTGTTTACAGAGAAGGGAAACTAAATGTTTCGAGCTGATACATTTTCTAGAATACATTGCTCAGCAATAAACACTGACAACTTAATTCATCAATCACTCTGCCATCCTGGAGTAACTAGATTTTATGCTTTTATTAAAAAAAGTAATTTACCTTTTTTAATTAATGATGTTAAACTAATAACTAAACAGTGCAAACTGTTGCCAAGATACCACAAACCACTAAAATTCAATTTGATTTAGATAGCACAACAATTGAAATGCTTGAACCTGTGCTGTGTTTGCACAGAACTCACTACAGCAATTACACATGAGCTAGTGGCAAGAAAGATTTTTGTAAAAGAAAATGTAAACAAAAGTAAATGCAAGTATCTAACTTATGTAAACTTTATGTTATGTTTTTTTTTTCATTTCACTTCATTTTGAAGTAAAATGCAATGGTTCAAAACCTTGCGCTTCCACTTTTTTTTAACTTTTTAAAATAAAAAGTAAAACATTTTTGAAATTTTATAGATATTTTTACTTATAAAATTTTACTATTATTTAAAAATTGTATTGCGGAAAAATCTCCTTAATTTTGATTTATAGCATTTATTGATATTGATGTCAGGTCAGGTACAATCTGCTTCATGTCCTGCTGCCTTGTAAGATTTGCTTTTTTAGACAAAGACTAGGAGATGCCAACTCTGATTCAAAACACCCCCTGTCTTAGGCTCTTGTTTGAGTGAAGACTAGAGATAGTGTCTCGATAAAAATACTTATCTTTGGGCAGATGTTAAATACATCCAGCTACTGTCTTATAGAAAGCCTCCTATGCAAAGATTTAAGGGGTAATCACATTCTTTCTATTAACCAGCCTCGCACTCCTTCATCTATTAGGCTGGTCTAGATGTATTTATAATACATTGTTTCCAGTTAAAGATGCTTAATGCTGGATCTTCTTGATTCAATGTATGGGTTTTGCTTGTGACTCTGTTTACAGGCCTTGTTTTAAATAAAAAATGCTTAATGCATTAACTTAACCTGATGACTCTGTGGCAGCTGATTCTATTATCTGTGGAGGCTCATTCCATCAACAGCTGTAAAATATCAGAGTACTAACAGTGCCATGTTGCCCATGGATGATGCCCTGTTTGTACTTTTGGTGTGCATTATCGAGACTACATTTGGAGCCCTTTGTTACAGTTTAAGGTTTATTAACAGTAATGAGGCAATTGCTTAGACTATTTAATATTGTACTGAGTACTATCTGTGCTTTGAATCAAGTTCATTAACAAATTCAAAAATGACTAAAGTATCAAAAACTATAAAACACAAAAAAATCATCATCATCACCAAAGTTCTCTAAACCTATGATTCACTAATATTCATGTTCTTCGAAATAACTTTTTTTCTGTTGAGTCTTATCTCTTGCAAAGTTTACCAGACCTACTTGCTCTTTGTGAGACTAATTTAAGTTCGGCTGTCTCATGTTGCAATCTTAGTGTTGATGGTTATCTTCCTTTAATTCGTAAAGACTTTAATAGTCACATGCTTGACCTGGACATTTACATTCGCAAGAATTCACTCATTTGTCAAGAAACTAGATTTGAATCCACAGATTAATCTTTTATGTATTTTCATTTAGCACCATTTCACTCTATCATCTTTTTTTTGTTCTGTATTGCTCTCCTTCAACTTAAAACTGCATTCTTTTTGTTGTTATTTCTGATCAAATCCTTTCTCTTTATCCTTCAGTCAATATCATTGTTGTTGGTGACTTTAATGCTCATCACACTGAATGGCTTGGCTCTTATGTCAGTGACTCTAAAGGCGTTAAGGCCCACAACTTTTGTCTTCCTCAATCTCTAACTCAAATGTTCAACTTTCCAACTCGCTTTTCAGACAACCCCAATCATTTACCTTCTCTTCTCAACTTATGTGTTGTTTCTGATCCTAGTCAGTGCTCAGTTTCTCCACATCCACCCTTAGGTACTTCTGATCACAGTTTGCTCTCTCTATTATCTCTCTATTATCTCTCTAAAACTATTATCTCATTCTTCTTCATCATCAGAATCACCCTATCATTGTACCTCTTACAACTAGTTTAAAGCTGACTGGGACTCTTGAGTAGAAATCTTTCATCTTCCTGCTGACGAATGTGCTTCCTACATAACTTCTTGGATTTAGGCTGGCATAGAATCTTTTGTTCATTCTCAACAATTCCAAGTTAAGCCTCATACTTCTCCATGATTTTCATCATTACGTTGCAGCAATGATGGCAATGGTTTACTTCTGTACCTATCAGCTTACTTCTGTATCTATTAGCAAAAAAAATCTCTAGAAAACAGATGTCTATTTACTATTGCTAGAAACCATTGTAAAAAGGTTTTATCTAATGCCAAAGCTCAGGGTCACAAAATCTTGTACTTCACCTAAAAAATTAGGCTCTGGTGACTTCTGGAGAATCTTTAACAGTATCTATAATAAGGGCTAAGCTCTCTTGTATGGTTCAGACTTTGTCATCTTGCCTAAAGAAAAGACTGAATTGTATACTAAGAACTTCTCATCAATATCATCTCTTAATTCCAATAGTCACATTCTACCTGATATAACCAACAAACAAATTAGTTCATTTGCTAACTTTCATATCACTTCAGCTTCTGTATTCAAAGTAATTTCTTGCTTAGACTCCTCTTTGTGGACCGTTTTTGGTTTGTGGACCAGACAACATATGTTTGTGGACCGGACAACATACCTATTATAATCTTGCAGAAGTGTTCTCCCTTTTGAAAAGAATGAGAAAACTTCTTTGAAAGTTTGGTATGCTGGTCTTCTCCATAAGCTTTCTTCTTAAAAGTGTAACAGGTTACATCTTTAAAATTATTGAATCCTTTTTTACCAATCATAGTATAAAACTTTAGCTCAGAGAAAACTCTATTTTTTCCTGCTAATTGTTATCGCAATAATCTAGATCTTCCTTCATTTATGAACAGTTTTGTACTCAATGAGTCATTTACCCTTCATCTTCTAGGATTAACTCTTACTTATGATCTTTCTTGGAAACCATATATCAAAATTAGCATCTGCTAAGATTGCATCTCTTTATTGTGCTTGCCACTTTCTTACTCAGGATTCTATTCTTAATTTTTGTAAACCTCAAATCCTTCCTTGTATGGAATACTGTTGCCATATCTGGGACAGATCTTCCAATGATGTCCTTTCTCTTTTAGACAAGGTGCAAAAACGCATTGTAAACATAATTGGACCTGCTCTTGCAGTCAACCTTCAATCATTATCACATTGTCATAATTTTAATTATCTTCTTCTTTTCTGTAAGTACTATAATGAACACTGCTCTAAAGAGCTTCCCCCGCTTGTGTCATCTAATAAAATTTATTCTTGTTTATTTGTCATTCAATGACAAATCGTCTTATCTTTTAACTGTAACTGTTCTTACGTGCTCCAAAAATTATTTTATTATGTATGTTTTTTTCCTTGAACATCAGTTCTTTAGAATTCACTTCCTTCATTTTTCTTTCCTGATTCATATAATATGCAATCTTTTAAGTCGTCTGTCAATTGTCTTGTCTTGTCAATTATCTTGCTATATAAACTTTATCTTTTTTCTTCCAGTAACTTCCAACTCTAATAGTGGTTGCTTTGTGGAAGTAAAAATGTCAAAAAAAAAAAAAAATTTAAGAGACAATTTTTCTTTCTTATGCAAAAAATATTTTACATTCAAACTTATATTTCTTCAAAATTAATTTATGGACCCTAAAAAGCTGCGGATGGTCTGGAAAAAAATTTACCAAAAACTTGATAAAAAAAAAATTATTCTAAAAATTAAGTCTGTAACTGTTTTTTTTTAGAAGTTTGACTGTGAAGTTATATATGAAAATATATATGAAGTTATAAAGTATTGAACATTAACTATTCGAATAAAATTGCTCATAAAGTCTTAAACATTAACTCAAAAGAAAGATTTGACAGATTTTTTTTCAACCACTTACTAAGAGTTATTGAAATAAAACAACTATATGAAGAATAAGAATAGAAATGTTCTGTGTGGAAAAGACTTATTATAACCCATATTATGTGGGCCATGCTAATTTCATTATTTTACATATTTTAAAATTAATTCCAAGTGTGTTTTAAAGTTTTTATACCGATTGTAAATAATCAACACATTTTAAGTGGGTATTTTAAGTATTTTTTTAGAACACTTGCTTTGGGTACTAATATCTGAACCACTGACAACAGTTCATGCAACAATTAACAAAGAGCAATTCCATGACACACGATTTCGGTATGAAGATTTTTAAATTAAAAAATAAACTTTCTTATAATATCCTACCTAATATGAACCTAACTATATCATAAGAACTAAACTTTTTATAATTTTTTTTACAGATATAGCTCAAAATAAGCGCATCACAGCGTGACATCAATTTGTCATGCCGTGAAGCTCTTGAATGTGCAATAACTTGTAAAATAGTAAGAAAAAAAGAAAAAAAAATCTCTTAAATTTAATAGGACAAAATTATAATTTAAAATTATAATTTTATCCTAAAGAGCATATATTTTTTTTACCAAAATAATATAAATTACACATAGATATTATAAAATTGTATTTCCTCGATAAAACCAAAACATCGAGGTGCATGGAATTGCTCCAAAGCGTTTAATTTTTTTTAAAGCTAAATAGATTACAAATTATTTATTCATAAATTTAATAGGTATATGTTTAGTTTTTCTACTACTTACTAAAAATACTGAAATAAGGAATAAGTATAGGAACAGTCAGTGTAGAATAGACTTACAGAATATTACCCGTACTTTACAGTATATACCCATTTTTTATGGGTCCAGTATTATACCAGTATTTTATGGTTCCAGACAGCTAGTAATAATTAATGTCATTCTTAGTATTTATTCTTTTTAGTAGTTAAAAAGAAGAGTACTTTTTTATAATGCGTGGAATTAACATGAAACATTATAAAAAAGTAAAATTATTATGATCATTATCTGGTCATTACTTTAAGTCTGTATTTGGTCAGGTCTGTGTTTGTCTGTCTGTATTTGTTTGTATTTGTTTGTATTTGGTCAAGTCTGTATTTGGTCAAGTCTGTGTTTGTCTGTATTTGGACGAGTCTGTGTTTGTCTGTATTTGGACGAGTCTGTATTTGGGCAAGTGAGGCTATTTAGCCAAGGCTAGCCGTGACAAATTACCAAGAAAAAGAAAACTGTTAATATGTAATATGTTTTTGTTAATATGGTCAATAAAAATATAAATAATAGTTTAAATGTGTTTTTAATAAAAAAATTTTAAAAAATTACCTATCCAATCAAAGACATATTGACAGGAACTGTTATCATAAGAATATAAAAAATCGTTGCAATTCTGAGGAATTGCTAAATGTTCAAAATTTAATTCATCGACTATTGCAATATAATTAGCAGCACCAATAAATTTTGAAAAGTGTTCTTTACATTCTTTAAAAACAAACTCACAGTCTTCCCGACAAACCTTCAGGGGATATTTATCATTAAAGCAGTTAGGTATCCCAAATCTACACAAAGAGAGAAAAAGATAGTTTTTGCATGTTGTAGAACCCCCTGTTGAATTGGCAGCCTTTAAAAACCGAATGAATGCATCATTAGTCTTGTCAACACCTAATTTATAGTCCACATATCGAAGAACTGTACTGTTACTAAACTTGGTTTCATTAGATAAATATTCAGAGCAAACACCACCTTGGTATATAATACATGATCTATTGAAACTAAAAGAATGTGATAAAATTGAAAGTAAAAAAATATTCATTTTCATAAATTAATATCATTTTACATTATTTTAATTCACAAAAACATTTTAAAATTTAAACTTTTATAAAAGAGATTTTGCCTGTTATCCTTGGTAGTGCTATTATCCTTGGTAGTGCTATTATCCTTGGTAGTGCTATAAAAGTTCATCTTATCTAAACTTTTTTCGTTAACAGAATTGTAGTATAAAGATCCTAAAATAAATATAAACATTAAAAAGTTTCTTTTAGGAGTTATTATTTGTAACCTTTTATAAGTTATTTTAAAAAATTAATAATAAACAAAATTTTTTATTTACAGAAAACAAGTTTTAAATATGAGCAAAATATGAACATCTAGAGTTTCGAAAAACATATTATTTAAATATATATGCATGTTATTTATCACTAAATAAATCTTAAATATGTTTTAAATATATAATATTAATATGTTTTAAATATATAATATTAATATGTTTTAAATGTATAATATTAATATGTTTTAAATATATAATATTAATATGTTTTAAATATATAATATTAATATGTTTTAAATATATAATATTAATATGTTTTAAATATATTATATTAATATGTTTTAAATATATAATATTAATATGTTTTAAATATATAATATTAATATGTTTTAAATATATAATATTAGTGTTTTAAATATATAATATTAATATGTTTTAAATATATAATATTAATATGTTTTAAATATATAATATTAATATGTTTTAAATATATAATATTAATATGCTTTAAATATATAATATTAATATGTTTTAAATATATAATATTAATATGTTTTAGATAATGTCTCAAGTATATAACCATTTTTCAGCTTAAAATCAAAGTTTTCACAATGCACAGTGGTCCAGTACAATGCCATAAATACAAAAAAAAAAAGTTGTTTTATAATAAAAACAATTAAAAAATTAAATTATATTTGTTATGTGAAAACCAGATTTGAACTTTTAATGTCCGTAATTTTAGAAAAAATTTGTCTTGGGAGGGTTTAAAGTTCAAAAATTAAAGAAATTCACATTTTTTCAGGCAAAAACGTATGTATAAAAGTTGGTCTACCAACTTTTATACATGCTCTCACCTGCCAATGTCATTTTATGATGTCCTAAATAATTCATTTTTTTTTAAATATTTTTATAAAATATGGACAATCAATATCAAATAATTTAAAATATAAAATTTTATGAAAAAGGTACAATTAACCCTGTTTTTAAAACTTTTTAATCATAAATTTTTTGAAAAAAAAATTTTTATCAATTAGGTTTGCCCACTTTAAAATTAATTGCGTTTGAAAATATGTTGTTTATAGAAAGTTTTTGGAAAAGTTGCTTTTGTTTGCTTTTGTATCTATAGGGTCAGTCCAAAGGTGATGTACTTAAACTAAAATGTGGCTCCTCCTCTCACTCCTGATGTTTTTTAATGAGTATCAACCATGTGAATGAAAAGCAGAATATTTAAGTATAAAAGCGGACCAAACAAAACATAAATAAAACAATCAAATAAACAAAATCGAATAAACAAAATAATCAAAATAAATAATATTCAATAGTTATTTAGTGGTGAAACCAATTTTAAATATGAAGAATAAAGAAATTTTTGATTACTTAGTTAAAGGAAAGTATGAGAATAAATATTAAAGTTTAATTAGTAAGGAAGCAAAAACCGAAATTTGTATATTGATTTCGCAATGTTATCTGAACTACAATAACATGAGGTTAACCAAAAAATTTATGAAAAACTTTAAAACAAAATGGAATGAGACAAAAAGGTTTATAAATTGTTACGAGATGGTTTAAATGGAATTTAAACCATCTTGTAAAAATTGAGGTACTGTTAAGGTTCGTTAGCAATAAATTCCATATTTAATGGTTAAATATGGAATTTATTGCTAACGAACCTTAACAGTAAAAAATGTACAACAAAATGCACCTTCAAAATCATTTGAAAATCACTCAACAAGGTCTAAAAAAAGAAAATCTTCAGAGATTACTAAAAAATTAGGTGTTACCACTGAAAGTCTATTTCATGGCCTTACTCTAAATCTCAATAAAGAAGGACGATTTAAAGATGCTAAAGTTATTAAACATTTGATGGAAAGGAAAACTGATGGATCCTACAATATATCATGCTCTAAAAGCTACTCAGCAGAAGAAGCTTTAACTTTAATGTCAGACTGTAGAATGAGTAGAACTGACTATCAAACTATCCGTCAAAAGGCCTTAAATAAAGGTTGTATGTTATACCCTGCCTACAATTTTTTTGTGAAAGCTAAAAGTGATTGCATTCTAGATTGCGAAATTGTCACATCAAACCACAGTGTTTCTGTGAATCTTCCAGGAATAATGGATCACACCACAAACAGAATTAGTTATGGATAAATCGAAACCTTCGTTTTGGGCCTTGCAATACTCTTCCTTTTATAAGCAAAGTCGGATTCGATGATTCATCTGGCCTGTTTATAAACAGAAAACTGAAGATGAAGAGGGCAGATTGTTAGTTCCAGTTGAAGAATCTTTCATGTACAGTACCTGTGCAACTTAAAATACAGGAAACTAATGTTATTCTTTGGACTAACCCCAAAACATCCTCAATCCAATATTGTCATTCTGTTCAAATGTAATACGCTAAAAAAAATCAGCAAATTGTTAAAGCAAAATATGATTTTTTTGTCAACTGAACTCAGAGCAACAACCATAGATTTATTTCAAGTTAAGCACAAGTTAGAATGTACTATGATTGATGGGAAAGTTTCCACTCTTCTTTCTCTATTAAGTGATTCTTATCAAGTTTGCAATATATGCGGATTAAATCCTATAAAAATGAATGACTTTGTAATTGCTTAAAGTAGACAACCAAATCAGATGTCTTTGGACCTGGTGTATTGTCCTGTAAACATCCGGTTGATCCAGATAAACTAGAAATATATTGCAAAGATACATTTAAGACATATGTAGCACATTTTAAATGGTATTCTATGTCTGCTGGAGTGCACAAGATGATTGTCCATTCATACCAGGTTGTAAGAGACAAGCCAGTTTCGATTAGCCTCTTATCTGAAGAAGCTCAGAAAAGCAAAAATAAAAATGTTAAAAATGTTAAAAATTCGTAAACATTTCACAAGAAAGTTTTTTAGAAAAATTACAAATGAAGATGTAATGTGAAGATTGCTCTACTCATCAGAGCCCTTTATTAGTTCTATGAGGCAAAGTTCTGAATCAAAGAAGGAACTTGCTCTTCCAGCAGAATGTTTAGACCTATATATTCTATATTTTATTCCTAATTGTAGTATTGATAATATAGGTACTGAATAGATTTACTTTAAATTTTTTATTTAAAGAAATATGTAAAAAGCTGCATTTTTACAATAGCACATTTGTTTATTAAGTAGGAATTTGACACTGTTTCATTGTTGTTTTTTAAAAACTCAAACCCTTTATAACTATGTGTTTTTAAATAGCTCAGTTTAGTAAAAAAATAAATATTTAAAAATATTAAAGTCAATTTATTTTTATTTATAATCTTGGTGTAAAACCAAAATTACGCATTCTTTTTAAGTAAATGTATGTTATTGTTGTACTTCCATATACATAGAATATTCATGTCTAGGTAATTATGAAATAAGTGACCTGGATGATTTTGTTTATTATTCGACCAGAAAACCAAACTATTGAAACCAGTATAAAAGAAATAAGTTTTATCATAGAGATCTAAAAATAAATATAAACACAAAAAGCATGTCTTATGTTATATTATGTGTCTTTGGTGTGTTATTTTTGAGGTTTTTTATTCTACAAATTGAAATTTGTAATATTCGTAAGTGTACCATAAAACAAGGAAATTATTAGATTAATTTAAATATTGTCATGTAACATGTGTTGTTTGTTGTGTTTACTTTTTGCCCTTGATGTTGTCTTTTTGTCATATATTGTGTCCATTTTTTGTCCTTGGTGTGCTACTATACATGTTTATGCAATCTATCAAGATGTAATAAATGTGTAATTTGTCCTCCAGAGAATATTTAGTTAAAAATGTTCTAAAGATAATTATGTTAAAGTTATGTTAAAATAAGCTAATATGTAAGTTATTACGCTATGTGTTCGTGGTGTTCTGCACATGTATGATATTAATTTGTTTAACAAAAATGTGTCATACATGCTAGGATTATTTATAGTTAATAGAAAGTTGAAAATTATAAAGGAAATACGTATCAAATATTTATTATTAGTTATTTCATTTGTCTATGGTTTCATGTTATTGGTGTGTCCTTCAGAGGTATAAAAAACATTACAATAAATGTTATTGTTTAGCCAGGGTAAAATGAACATTCACAGAAATTTTAGTTTTTTAACTTCAAAATTGGCGAAGATATGATTTTTGCCTCAAAAGTGATATTTCTGAACCACTGTGCAATGACATTCTTATTATCAATTAAAAAATATAAAAAATAGGAAGAAAAAAATGTGCTTTCAAAAAATAAAAATAGCAGGAGTCTGTATTTTTTAAAAAAAAAAAAAAAAAAAGTTTTTTAATTAATGCATGTAATGTAATGTACATAATCTAAATGAAAAATCTTTATGGTTTATGTTCTTCTGATCTTCACATCACCAAGCAACTTACATTTGAAAGTCTAGCATATCATTTCCTAGAAAAAATGTTGTTTTAAATATAAGTAAATCAGTAAGCAAAGTGTGGATATAAGTGAGCCATTAAAAATGGTTGCACTTAATTTTTCATATAGTTATTGAAATATAATTTGATTAAAATCGTTCTAAAATTCTAATTTATTAAATTCATTATTTATACTTTGTATTTGTTCAATTGGAATTATGATTTTTTAAGTTATATATTTATAATAGACTAAAGGATGTTTATTATCCATTGTTTTATAATTATAGGACCTGTATGTCATTTGGATGCAAATTTGTTTTTACGTATTCCTATACGATACATATAACTATTAAACCATAGAACTAGGCAAAATCAATTTTTGAGACCCTTATAAATATTTTGCAAATCCATTTTGAGTCAAAAACCAATATAAAGTTTTATATAGTGTAAACTGTTGCTTGATCCTGTATTTACAATTCTTTAGCTTAGCGCTACAGTTTTTATAAAAATTTATTTTAGATTTTTTGTGTCAAATTAATCTCTAAAGAAATTATAGTATCGTAATTGCTAATGATTGT